CTCCAAGAGAATGTAAAAATAAACACCCCAAATCCTGCCTCGGCGTCTCTATAATTCCCCCCACCCATCACCCAGAATCCCCACGAGTCACAGGCAGGACATCATAATAATGTCCACACTGTATGACATCATCACGATTTACCTCTCATAACAGCCACCTCCCCATCCTTCCTCTTTCTGGATCTCGTCAGTACTCACACTACTGCCATTTTGAATCTATAGAACTCTTCAAACTGTTACCGAGTTCTTTGTTTGGGTTACTTTATAATTTGTCAAAAGAAATGTCAGAACCTTTCTTTTTTCCAGCTTTATGGAGGTATACTTAATGTTTTTAAAATCGCATCTATGAATGTATACATTTGGGTGAGTCTGGACCGCGATCCTTAGAGGCAGCGCCCTCTGCAGGGTCTGGTGGAGCAGAGTAACACCCCGCACGCTGTCTCCCCGAGCGTCATTTGTAAGGTCTTCTATCTGTGTAGACCAGCCCATTGCTCTGTACACACCTCAGTCAATTTCCAAGGGGTAGACCAACATGGATCCACTCCTTTCTGGTTCTCATGTACAATACAATCCAATGGCTTGTTTATTTCACATACTTTTCTTTCGCTCTTTTTTTATTTATTTATTGATATTGGAGAAAGAAAGGAAGGGAGAGAGAGAGAGAGAAACGATGAGAGAGAACATCAATTGGCCGCCTTCTGCATGCCCCCCACTGGGGATCAGGCCCACAACCTGGGCATGTGCCCTGACCTGGAATCGAACCGGCGACCTCTTGATATATGGGTTGACACTCAACCACTGAGCCACACTGGCCGGGTAACACATATTTTTCTTTTTAATCCTACAACTACCCTTTTGGTTGGTTTATAAATGGTCATCTAAAATTCAAAGAAACTGGCTTAAGGCTGGGTTTCCTAATGTCATTTTGCTGTGTCACATAATGCTACTGCTCAGTGTCAAGGAGGGTTGGCATTCTGAAGAGTAGAATTAAATTATTGGAGACTTACAAAAAAAAAAAAAAAAGTCTTTATGTCACTATTCTGCTTCTCTACCTGCTGTTCCCAGGAGGTGGCGCACCTGTCAAACTTCCCTTACTCCCAGCCAGGTCAGGACTAAAATGTCTAGGCTTAGGACAGAGTGAGGCTGGGGCAGGAATTCCAGAGGGTCATGGTTCTAGTTCCCCTGTTGCTTCTAGTTCCTAGAACTAAGTGAATCTGTCTTCCTTTGGTTCTGGCCCCATTCTTCCTTGTTAATTTTCTGGTTCAAAAGTTAAGGTGTAGCAGGGGTGAATTGTTGTCTGGCTGTTAAGGGTCCCTACCCTCTGAATTTGGGGGCCGGTGAGCATTCCGGGTTATTGCAAAGGGAAGAGGCGCTTCCTAGTGTCATTTAGATCGGGCTCAGCAACATCTCCGCCTGTGGGATGGCATGTGCCTGGCATCCAATGTGACCAGCAGGCAGCTGTTTGTGGAAGGCTTAGCCCTCACCCCAGTGGGGTGATCAGATCACTGGAGGTGAGCAGTGGTCCCTGGGACGGAAATACTACTCAGGCTTCCAACCCTCTGCAGAGCCTCCTCTGTGGAGGGAGCCCACCCACTGAAAATTGTCCTGCGTGTGCAGCTTTAAAACGGCTCCATTCCGTCCCTGTTTGGACTTCTGATAGCGCCCTGGGATTCTCCAGCAATGAAGGCTCCCAACTGGCTCTTAATAGAGCATTCCCTGGCCAGCCCTCCTGGCCCCGCCCCGGCAAGGTAGTTCAGATTTCTCCAGCTCTGCCTTCAATGGGAATATGCTCATTTGTGTAGATTAGGGCTTGGAATTAGGCAGATGACTCCTACCCACAAGAGCTCCAGTGTCCTCTGCAGACACTGGCCCTGCGCAGCCCTCGCATGCGCAGTACGCACCTGTCTGCTGGCCTGGGGGGCTGGGGCTTCCAGGCCGTGAAGTTCAGGCCCGCCCTTCACCGGCTGTGCTTTTTCTGGTCCTGGTGGCCAATGGAGCTCAGCAGTTTTCCCGGTGGGTTTTGCTGTGTTCCTGGTTGACCCCTCTGGTCCCATCTCCTGTTTCTCCCCCACAACCTTGGGTATCTTTCCAGGCCTTGCCCGGCCCTGCCACTCCTCCCGGTAGCCGGGTGGAACCACCTACAGTGCCAGAGAATCTGTTTCCCTCCACCTCCTTTCCTAGTGATCCAGCAAGCTGCTTCCTAGGACATTAAGAGCATATTTTGGCCCTGGCCGGTTTGGCTCAGCGGTTAGAGCGTCCGCCTGCGGTCCGGAGAGACCCGGGTTCGGTTCCCGCTAAGGGCATGTACCTCGGTTGCGGTTTGTCCCCGGCCCTGGTTGGTCGTGCGGGTGGGCAGCCACTCGATGTGTCCCTTTCACATCGATGTTTCCCTCTCTCTCTCTCTTCCTCTCTCTCCCTCCCACACTGTCTGTACAAAAAATGGAAAAATGTCCTCGGATGAGGATTAAAAAAAAAAAAAAAAAAAAAAAAAAAAAAAAAAGAGCATATTTTGGATTATTTTACTGAAAAATACGTTTTTGCTCTTACAATTAGACCTCATCTTGAGGCAGTATCTCTCACTAATTAAGGGAAGTTATTATATACAAGGGCAGAAAAGCAAAGCCCAAATATTAATATTTTGAGATATTATCACTCTACAAAGGTAACTGAAGAGATACCAAAGCTACTAGTAGACAGATCTATCCCCTTTCTGAGGACTTTTGAGGTCCTGTTAATTACTAATCACCTCATTCTTGAAGCAAATTACTGCCTAGAGATATTATGTCTCACAATATGTATCTTTCAAGTACAAAAAAAAATATTAGGAGGTGTTCACAGAGCCACAAAGGATTAATGGGGCCTGATGTAATAGTGGGATGGACAGGCCTCCTGTTTGGATGATAAGGACCTTTCTGTATTCCTACATCACAGTATGCATGAACACTCTGACAGTAATCCTAAACTTTGAAATGTAAAAACAACTTGAAGATAAATTTTGGGAAGAACAAAACCAAAAACAACAATAAATAGGGTTTTGGAGAGAAAGGTGTCATCTTCAACACTATCCACCAGAGGGCACTATAAAGGCACTTGCTCTCCATTTGGTATAGAACTACCCATTTAACAGAGAGAAAGGAGAAAAGAAAAATTCAGAAGCAAGTGTTATCCAAGCATCCATTAATATAATGAAGGTATGTTTGTTTCCTGTTAAACTTAGATGTGTGGACATGAATAAATATAGTATTTAATTGATAGATACAGATTATATTTATAGATGTATGAACATAGATACATATATAGATATATTTATTCATACACAGATATGTAGATATGTGTGTATATCAAAAACACAGTAGCGCCAACATATCCTTTGAGGTGGAGCTACAATGACTACTTTTTAGCAGCCTTATGAAAATCATCAAAATGCTCTTTTTAGCTTATCATATGTTAAGCATGCAATAAATAGTTGGTGAATGAGTAAAGAAAGAATCTGGTACAGTAGCATAGAGAAAATGTCAATTTAATTCTGATATGGGTTTTGAAGGATAAGTAGGAGTTTGATAGATGAGTTCAGGCAGGCATCCTGAGGTCTTGTACGTTCCTGTACTCAGACACCTAACGTGGCATTGCAGTTCCAGGGATGAGATTTCATGGCCCAGTGGTACTAGAGAAAAATATTGAATTCCTGTCCCACCCCCCAGGAAGGGTGATTAAGGAAGAGCCACACAAAATGGTTTTATGGAAAGTTTGATAATTTTCTTTTCAATTTGAAGGCAGAAGGTTATTAATGGGTTCTTACTAATTGAGGGAGAACCTTATGCCAACAACAAGAAAAATGCTTGCGATGGCTTGTATTGTAATAAATATTCATTATATTATGGTACTCATTTAAAAAGACTAATTATTAAGCTATTAACTTGACATATACAATTATTTATAAATGTAGTAATTTCATTTAAAGTTGTTTTCACTTGTTCATTACTTTTCAATAAAATCATACATTTGATAAATCAAATTTTCTTAAATAGATACCATTTCCATATTTTGTGAATTAAAACTTTTTATACATTTCATATTTGATTTTAAAATATTATTCTTTTAAATACTTTAACTATCTAATAAGGCATATTTATAAACTTAGCAAAATTCTTATAAGGGCTTAAAATGGTTTTTTAATTAGACCTAAATCCACATCTCAGCTCAGGTTCTTACTAGCTGTGTACTGGTTAGCATCCTTTCTTTCTTTTTTTTTTTCTTTTTTTATCCTCACCCGAGGACATTTTTCCATTTTTTGTTCAGATAGAGTGGGAGGGAGGGAGAGAGAAAGAGAGAGAAACATCAATGTGAAAGGGACACATCGAGTGGCTGCCACCTGCACGACCGACCAGGGCCGGGGACAAACGGCAACTGAGGTACGTGCCCTTAGCGGGAACCGAACCCGGGTCTCTCCGGACCGCAGGCCAACGCTCTAACCACTGAGCCAAACCAGCCAGGGCTACAATCTCTCTTTTCAAAGCAAATGGAAAATGAAGTAACCCATGGCCAACCAGAGGAATCTATCTGGAAAGGTGGGCAAGAGGTAGAAAACAAAACTCAGATATTAGGTTGAATTTTCCAACTTATCTGAGAGACAAATCAACTTACTACATATTCATTGAGTACCTGTTACATTTCTGGAAGGATATTACATCCAAAAGACACATTAGAAGTAAATGAACAGACCCGTACTTTCCCAAAGCATAAAGTCAAGTTAAAGAGACAGAACTGAAACTTAGGAATTAACCTATAACCGGACAACAATGATGAAGGACCTGTGGGTGCACACAAAGGCCTGAGAAGAGGAAGAGTCCGACACCCTCAAGGGGAACCAGGAGACTGGGTCACATAAAGACATAGAATCTGGAACCCCTTGGAACAGGTGTCACTGCGTTCTCAAAGAGCCGGGTTCTGCCGACGAGGCCAGTTCTGCCCCTAGTCAATCACAGTGGCAGAGGAACAACATGAGCAACGCTGGTGAGTCCCCGAGGGAGGGCTCCGAGGCTCTGAGCTCCCAGATAAGGCAGGTCACTCACCTGCCCACCCACGAACAGACCTGAGCCCCCCGGGGACACCACGAGTTATTCACGCCCTTTGTTTTCCTTCTCTCTTCTTTCTGCACCCTACCCCCCCCCCCTTATGCCACCATATATTTGAGGACAGGGCAGGACCCCATTCCTAAGACAGCTAAGGCAAGAGGGGAAGGAAAATGCAGGTCAGGCCATGATGTGTCACACCTCTTCCAGGTAGAAGGCTAGCGTGCGGTTTAGGGTCAGCCAGCGGTCTCTTTTGTTCCCAAGTTGGCATTTTTATTGTGTGGAACGAGTGTTGAAAGCCTTCCCAGATTACTAGGAACTTTGAAGGCAGAATAGGTGAGAATGATAAACAAGAATGAAGAAACCAGAGGACGAGGAAGGGGAGGATGTGGGGAACCGTGTTCCTATACTCTGTTAACAATGTCCCGTTGATGGCAAGCCCTGTCATAGTCAAGCCCCTTGTCACCCACAGTGTGTGTGGTTATGGAACATAATCAACTGGGAAATTTCTGCCAAACCCTACTTTCCTATACTCAGATGCCCTAAAAATCTTATTAAACAAATCCATGCCAGGCTTTGTGAATGACAAACAGAAGTCCTAAAGATTGAAGATCTTCTCTTGAAAGAACAATTCATTCAACATTTATAGAACTGAGACATCGTGCAAACACTTTGGGTGCCTAGGGGACGGAAGATGGAAAGGCATGGTCCCTACTCTCATAGGGTTCAGTCTAGTGAGGAAGACAGATACATCAATGGACGAAGACAACGACCTCATGATGGGGAGATGTACATGATGGTGCAGGAGGGTAGTGATCAATTTTACCATCTAGTAGGTTCTACCACACTTGGTTCACCACAAAAATGATTTGTAGACCCGTTGTTGTTTTTTTAATTGATTTTTAGAGAGAGAGGAAGGGAGAGGGAGAGAGAGACAGAAACATCGATGAGAGAGAACACTGATTGACCGCCTCCTGCATGGCCCCCACTGGCGTTCAGGCCCACAACTGGGCACGTGCCCTGACCAGGAATCAAACTGGTGACCGCTTGGTACATGGGTCGATGCTCAACCACTGAGCCACACTGGCTGGGCTGTAGACCAGTTCTTGATGGATGAATTGTCATTGTGAAGCAGACTGGGGGTGGGGGTGGGGTGAATGGACATTTCAGGTGGTGGGAATGCAGAAACAAAGACTTGGAGATGAGGTGAGAGTGAGAGCATATGTAAGGGAGAGCAGAGGACAGCCCTGGGGAGGGGAGAAGTTGAGGTAGATGACCCCAAAAGTCATGGCCAGCTGAGATTTGGCCATTCAAAATGACCCATTCGGTTGCTTCGTTTTCTCATCCTGAGTACAGTCCTGGTTCGTGAGGGTGTTTGTGTTTCTCTCCATACAGAGATAATTGGTTCTACAAATCCCATAATTCTGCTGGAGGATGAAGTCTTTGCCGATTTTTTCAACACATTTCTTTCTCTCCCGGTAAGTTTTCTCACTCAAACTTAAATCCACATGTTTCATCAACAGACAAGTAGTGAATCTCACTGAGAGGTGTGCCTTTAAAAAAAAATAAATAAACTTACCAAATCAAAATGATTTCAATTTGAGAAAATAAATATCAATTAGAATTTCCTCTAAAAATTCCAGGGGCTCCCCATCATTGATGTAATCATGTCCCAAATCCCCAGCCTCGTTGGTTGCCTTTGCCTGCCCATCACACCCTCTGCCGGCGCCCACTGGTCTACCCTCGGGAGCACACCTGGCCCCCTGCACCTCTCCTGTTTCCGTGGTTACCCCTATCAGTCTTCATCATTTTTCAAACCTCTGCTTAAATCCTGTTTTCCCTACGACACTCTTAGGTCCTTCCAATGGGACCTACTTTTCCCACCTCTGCGCCCCTCAGCACTTTGCAGGGTTCTGTGTTTTACACGGGTCTCCCCCACGGGATGGGGAGACTGTGACTTTCTGCAGGTCAAGGACACGGACTGTGGGCTATTCATTGCGCTGCACTCCCCCATCCCAGGTGTTTAGCACATGAAGACTGTTGAGTTGTTCACAAGAACCAAACCTATATATTTTCTCAATCTATGCAACTAAAACAAACATCCAAACATCAAAGTACTCTTAAACCCAAACCGAGGCTAATCCTGCATCTCTTTTGGTTGATGTGCTTGGTTACATCTTAGCACCGGTGCCTTATAAACATCGTGGCTCATCTCAGTGTGCCCTTTCCCGTGGAATGCCACCCGTTAAAAGGTGACACTTTATATAACTGCGAAAAAACACTCTGTTATCCCACAAACACTTGGGTGGCTACTTGGTGCCAGTCGCTGGGCTCAGCCCGGGGACACAGATAGTTACGATGCCATCTCTATCCTAAGGAATTCCCAGTCTAACGTGAGTAATTTAAGGTGCATGACATGGTAGAAGTCCCTAGGAGGCAGTGGGTGCAGAGCCCGCGCCCGCCTGGACGAGTCAGGAGAGCTTCAGTGGAGAGGTGACACGAGCCAAGTCTCTAAGGAAGACTAGGTATTCGAGAACTGGGGAGAGGATGATGGACAAAGAAGCAGGAGAGAAAGTCTGACGGGTTGAGTAGCAGGAGAAGCGCAGGCGTCATAGACAGAACGGAGTAAGTCGGCACCAAGGAGCACGGGGCTGTGGCACTAATAGCTCAGCGAGGCTAAAGGGACAGCTGTTGTGACCGCAAGAGATAAGGCTGCCCAGCCAGGCCAAGCCGGGCCTCTGAGAGCCGGCGGGCTGCGCTTAGGGTGAGGACGTGGTCCTGAAGGCCACAGAGAACCACCAAAGGCTCCTGAGTAACAGAAGAACGTGCTCAGGCTTCTGCGTGGGAAAATTGTTTCTGCGGAATTCGGGGCGTGGGGTGGGCTCTTCAGGGGACCACACCGGGGGCAGGGAGACCAGTTCGGAGGTCGTCTCAACAGTCCAGGTGAGAGATTATAAGGATCAAAAGGCAAAAGGGGTGGGACAGCCAGGAGAGATGCTTCACAAAGCAAAATGAAGATTTGTCACCGTTTGAATGGTGGGGAGAGGTGGTAACAAGAAGCGGGGAGCTGCGATAACAGGCTCGGGCGCCTGGAAGGACGGAGGAAGAGGCCCCGAGGAGCAGGTCTTGGGGTGATCCTCACACTCCTGTTGCCTCTGCCAGTGTCTTATGAAAGGTTTCAGAAGTGAAACTAGGACATTGTAGTTTGTGAATTCCGGAATTGAAGTTCTCTGGGAGGCAGTGGGTGCAAGGAGGGGGTGCGCGCCCCTGCCGGGAGGAGTCAGAATGGAAAGAGTCATGTGGGAAACAGAATCCCAGCCAGGAACATAGGGAAGTCCCGGCCGGGTAGGCAGCTGTGCTCGCCTCAGACAGACGGTGGTATTTCACGTCGACACTACTGTCTAGACGTTTCCGAGTAAATCGCCCTGTGAGGTCAACCCCATTCGCTTCTGACAGATGGGTCTCAGAAGTTGAATGACTCCACTAAGGTCACATGGGGCTGACCAGGGCTATGGCTGCAGACCTCAGCCTTGTGCCCTCTCTGGTACAAACGTCACGTGGTGTCGCTGCTGCCACACGTTACTCCCACGCGATCTCACTGCTCCCCAGTCCCACCACACACCCCATAAAGGTAGCCTCACAGTCTAGTCGGGGCATGTCCTGGTGTCACGTGCTGGGCAGGGAGGGGTCACTGAGGACAGAACCTCCTTTACAGACTGATGTTTGTACAGCGCAGGCCCAGGACAAAGAGGAGAGACGGCGGGGCCACAGACCGCCAAAGCTGGGGGCTGTTCATCTTGGGGAGGTGGTCCGACTGACATGTGCTAGGAGCCCAGAGCTGGGGCTCCAGACCCTCCAGTTTATCACATGCTTTGGGGACACTTTAAGCCCTTTGGGGGGCCTATGGTGAGACTGCTGAGCTCAGCACAGGGTCCTTCCCACGTCTCAGAGCTGGTTGCCCAGGTCACTGTCCCTGCACCACGACGAAAGAGAACAGGAGCCTAGAATTACCTATTGATTTCGAACACTTAATGCCTCCGTAAGTCACTTGCACCCCAATCTTCATATCCTCAGTCCTCTCTACTTTCTCCAGCTCAAGTGTTGAGGCAAATCCAAAGCTGTTTCTCTTTATGAAAGGGTTTAGGCCTTTGAGCCAATAAATACACAGAAGTCAACACTTTTTAACATCTGGGCTTTGGCCTTGGGACACAGACAAGATATCTGCGAGGTCGAGGCAGGGCGGAGCCAAAAGACAAACCAGCCTTGTGATTTCGTCTGCTCCGGGTGTCTGCGCACCGCCCGGCGCGTTGATGCGGTGGCCGCGTTTAGGAAGGAATGGCCCGAGACAGGAACGCAACGGAGCCTTCCGTTCCCCTGCTGCCGACGGATCGGGACATGTTGCTCTACCCCTTCGCTGTTTCCTAGTTTTCTGTTTGCAGGTCTTTGGCCAGGCCCCGTTTTACACAGTTGAAAATGCACAGTGGAGCTTGTGGCCAGAAATACCTTATGACTTGGTGAGTAAGGGTCTTACTTCAAGGGCGGAAGTCTTGGGGTGGTGGGGGGGAAGGGGAAGCTGAATTCGAAGTGTGATTGGGGGAGAGAGAGGGAGAAGCAATAAAGCAGGTACGTAGACAGCATTAAGCCAGATAGACATTTCCCCCTTGTGCGTTCTTACCCCTTGGGCAAGAGATGCTCCTGAGTCCTTTTTTTTTTTTTAATCTTCGAATCCATGGTTAGCAAACGAGATTTATCTCCCACGCTCACTGTGACTGTTGAGTAGTAGATGCTTAAAGCACTGTGTTGAGAACTGCGAGGCCACAGCTAAGCCAGAGGAGTCTGGGAATCAGTTGGCAATGCCCGCCATGGGCGTGGGGTGGGAAGGCACGGCCCAGGGGCCACATGGTAATTATTTGCACTATAAGGTGTAGCTCGAGGTACAATGCCACTCTGCAGTTCCTACTGACTGCGCCACCACTCTCCTCCAGAGATTGCCTCCCTCTTTTCCCTCTTTCTATCCTTTTTCCTTGTCCTCATCACTGTCTTTCTCCTTTCCTTCTCCCCCTTCCTGCCTTCCTTTCCACTGTGCAGACGTTAGATTTACCAATACCCTCCACATGCCCTTCCAGCAGCGGCTGGGAGCAGAAAGACCATGCTGAGCCTGCTCACTCCAAGGTTTTGTTTTTCTCCGGGATCTGGAGAGCTGGGAGAGACACTCCACCCTGACTCTTACATGGGGTGTTCCCAGGAGATCGAAACTTACAGTTGTTAGTTGCTCCTTCCCTTCTCTGGTGGCTCGATCTCTCAGGGATCCATCTCATACTCTAAATGATGTTACGGTGGAGTCTTGGTGTTTTTGGACATGCTCGTCAGTTGACATGGGCTGGGAGCCTGCAAAAAAAAAAAAATTATAAATATGCTTCCGAAGAAGCAAGTTGAATAGAGTTATGACTTGATACCACAGACGAAGTCTCTTCTGCTCCTCTTCCATCAAGCAAGACTTCGATCTTTCTAAAAACAATGTCACCCGGGTCTAAGGAAGATTTATGACGAAAGACCAAGCCTGTTCTTGCCAAACAATCCATTCACTCCTTTGGGAGCCTTAGTCCAAGTCTCCAGTCCCCTTAGGTTCTATCTGTAATCAGCACACCTCTCCTCTGGGCCAGATAGAGCGAGTGTGAGGCTATTTGTTGCCTTTGCTAAGCTGCATTTCTTAGCAGTTCAGTTCCATTTCTCCTTTCTGTTTCTGTTTTGTTTGGACTCTAGATCCCAAAGTACAAAGGATTATTGACCTGGTTGGGAAAATACCGGTTACCTTTCTTTTGTAAAAGCAACTTGTGTTTCCATTACATTCTCTGTCAAGAATTCATCAGTTTTGTTAATTCCCCAGAAGGAGGTAAGCATGGGGGTGTACGTGTGGAGAAATACGGGAAGCCAGCCTGCAGAGCCATTCTGTGCCTGTTAGTCCTGCAGTAAGGTACCAATAGTGGCCACCTTTATAGCTGGAGACATGCAGGAGGCTCAGCCTGTGTTGTGGCAATAGGTGAAATCTTAGGCTGCAAAATCGGTACCATCAATGAGCAGGAGTCAAATAGGCTGGGCTCTTTGCCACCATAAATGAGAGTTAATGGTGGCCACAGAACATGACGAAATTGTGTAAAATTTATCCAGAAACAATATGTCTCACCACCTTCATTGCTACCACCTGGTCAAAGCCACCATCGTTTCTCACCTGGCCATTGAAATCATCTTAGACTTCTTGGTTCTGGACCTGTTCTGCTGCTCATAATGGCCAGAGTGAGCCTTTAAACATTTGATTCAGATCATGCCATTCCTCTTTTTGCCACCCCCACCCTTGTACCAATGGCTTCTTTCTCAGTGTGAAATCCAATGCGCCCACAGTGGCCTTCGAGGTCCTAGAGACCTGGCTTCATTTCCTTTCTGACCTCCTCTCCTCCTCCTCCTCCTCGCTCACTGCATTTCACCTCATTGGCCTCCTTGCTGTTTCTCAAACATACTAGACAGGTTCCCATTTCAAGGCTTTGCACTGGCTGTTTGCTCTGCCTGGAATGCTCTTCCTCCATATCCACACTGGCTCCCCCTCTCACCTCCTCAAGTCTCCATGAAGATCTCACCTACTCCACGGAGACCTCGATGCCCACTGTCCAACCCCTGCCCTAGCGCTCCCAACTCTATTTACACCCCCTCCTCTACTTTTTCATTTTTTTCCTGTAGTGCTTATAACCTTCAACCTTTCTAGATAATGTACTTATTATGCTGACTGTTCATTGTGTGCCTTTAGGGCAGGGATTTTTGTTCTGTTTGCTAATGTATCCCAAACACTTAGAATGGTACTTGGCATTTCGTAGATATGTAATAAATATTTGTTGAAGGAATGAATGAATAAAGTCTCCATCTAGGATTGCATCGGTAACTTTACTCTCAGCTCATCTAACCAAAGGAAACCAAATACGTTCCCCTCAGAGAAGGTTACGATTCAGGAGATCCCACTGAGTAAAATGTTGTACCAAATCACTGTCCTACTCAGCTCCCTCCTGCAATGTATGTACGGGACACTGGATTGGCAGCAACACTGCCACGCGGGGACTGCAGAAGGCAAGGGGCCTTGGCTGGAGGGTGTTTTGATCTTGGATTGTACCTATGCTTGTGGGTCCCTCACCTGTTCCTCGATGTATATCACTAGAGGGTCTGGTACCTAGTTTCAAAAGCACCACCTAACCAGGACCCAACTCGTCTAACGGGCCGCCATCTCTCCTCCCTCCTACTGAGCGAATGGCGGCCTGACTGTGCACAGGCTGAGGGCGGGGCCGAGGCCAGAGCTCACTCTCTCTCACCATGAACTTCTCCTGGCAGCCAAGATGATGAGATGGAAAAACGCAGACCAGTGGCTACTCCAGAAATGCATTGGCGGGGTCAGAGGGATGTGGCGCTTCTGCACCTACCTCAAGGGCAGTGCAGGTGGGTTCTGGGACTTCTTCCTGAGCACCTTTGCAAGTTCTTAACAGCTTCCAGGATGCCCCAGGGCACTTGCTGACAGCGATGTATGTCTATGGTGAATAGAAAAAGTGACTTCGAATGCAGTTTGGGTGAAGTCTTTAAAAACTGGGACCCATAGTGTAGGCTAGAGCAAACACAATCAGAGTCCCTTTCATTCATTCATCACTCACACATTCATTCATTCGTTTCACAATGGTCATTGAGTACCACTGAATGGCAGCCACTGTGCTGTAGGTGGGGATACAAAGGTGGACAGGAACCGTAAGTCCCCACTTCATTGATCTGCCATGATGGTAGAGAGACAGACAAGGAGCCAGTAAACAAATCCCTGTAGCAAAAGTGTTGGGATGCCCTGCTTTCTGCTCCGTTGGGTCCCGCGGTTGATGAGTTCTGGGAGAACCACACCTGTACTGGCTGACACTCCAGTTCAAGTTGTATCCAGGGACAGCCCTAGTTTTAGGGTGAAACCCTGGATCTCAAGGGAACAGGGAGGAAGAACCAGTCAGGCTATCGTTCAGTGTGTCACAAAGACTTCAGTCCTGGCAAAGCTGTGAAACAGGGAACATAGTCTTCGGCACTTTTTGTCCCCAGTGTCCTTTTGTCGGTTACTCTGGGTCCGTGGTCTAGGAAATGTCACTTTCCCTCTGATCTTTATTTTTTGGACCCAACTCAAATGTCTCATGATCCGTCCTCAAAGTTTTATAGTTTTCCCTAAATGGACAGTTTTTCTAACAATAAAAAAGTCACAAAAGATCCCGATCTATTATGTCCCTTCTCCTCATGACTCCCATCTGCCCTCATATTAGCACATTTCTGGAGATGGTGCCTTAACCCGAAGGAGTAGCTCATGGGGATGTTGGAGGCATAGAGGAGGCTGGTGGTAGGGGTATCAGCTGCCACACCCAGGGGCAACCCCGAGGGGGCAAGGTGGGGGTGCAACCCTGGGCCTCCCCTGTCTGATCTGTAGGCGAAGAGCTGGTGGATTTCTGGATCCTTGCGGAGAAGATCCTGAGCATAGATGAGATGGACCTGGAATTGAGAGACCACTACCTGTCTCTCCTGCTTGTGCTGAAGGCCACCCATCTTCAGGAGGGTTCACGAGTAGTGGCTCTCTGCAACATGAACATCAGTGAGAACGATAACGTGTATCTGAAGTGAAATCCCTGGGAGGTGAAACCAAAAAAAAGAGGAGACTGATAGCCCTCAGTCTCCTGCTTTGCAGGGACCTTGGCACCGTCTAGGCTCCAGGGTTGCCAGTGGGAAACCCAACCCTTAGCAGGGGAGGGGTGAGAGAAACCAGTTCTTCTTAGGCTGGTACAGGCCTCTTCCTGAGATGTTACTCGCCAGTGATGGTTGGCTGGATGAGGTGAAGAGGAATTGGAACAAGGTCATTGAACAGCTCCTCCACCTTCTAGGTCTGCAGGGCTTGTCTTTCTTTTTTTAACATTGGGGATTCTCTAGAACAAACTACAGCACGCAGGCCAAATGAAGAATACGTGGACTATGAACTATGACTGTTTTCCTATTTTTAAAGGGTTAATGAAGACAAGTGTGCAACAGACACTGTAGGTGGACCATAAAGCCTAAACTAGTTGCTAGCTGGCCCTTCACAGAAAAGGTCTGCCAAGCTCTCTTCTAGAACATCAGATTCATCCTATTTATTTATTTATTTATTTATTTATTGGGGAGGCATTGCTAATGCAAACACAAATGTGTTCCAGAAGATTTGCTGTTTGGGATTATCACACTACTCTTTATTCATACAGATATTTGAGAATCAATGACATTAAAGTCAGTGCTAGTGAAGACTCCTTCAAATTATTCAGTTCAAAGCCCTTCTTCCTGTCAGATCTGACCTTGAGAAATCTCATTCAGAGGTACATGTCTCTTGTTCTTCAACATGTTTTCATGTGACATTCGCTTCTCTTTACAATAACGTTCAATATTCTAAAAAATAACCTGAAGAATCACCTAGAATGACTTATTTATCTAGGGAAGAAGGAAGGTAATCAGAGAAAGAGGTCACTGTGCTGAGCAAATCCTAAACATGTATCCACCTTATATTTGACCTGTTCATACCCCTGGATTGTGTGAGGAACAAAGGAAATTCTATACGCAAAAACATTTGAAAAAAAATTTAAAAACCTCACCATTAACACATCATTTTCATCCTTCATCTCTCTATCTACTTTCCAGAGTCCCTCTTGAACCTCTCCATCTGGCATCCCAACCAGTCAACCACCAGGAGGGATATCTTGAGCAACATGCAGAAAGTGGCTCTGTTCAAACTCCAGAGCTACTGGCTTCCCAACTTTTACACCCATGCCAAGACCATCATAGCTAAGGAGGAGTCATGCCAGGGCCTGATGCAAGAATATGAGACTCGCCTCTGTAGTATTTGCTGTACCCATGCAGGAGGGCTCCCTCTGAACATGAGCATCAAGAAGTCCCACCACCCCCAGAAGCACTACTCGAGCAGGAAGACAAAGCTGAAGATGTGGCAGTTGATAGATCATGCCTCTTGGTCTCTAGAATTGGATACCAAGCCAGATAGCAATTCCACACCTTCCCAGGAGACCTGTCCTAAGGCTAAGATGGTTATACAAATGCCTTGCCTGAAAAAGTCCTCTTCAAGGGCAGGAATAACCAGTTCCCAGGGAGAGGACAGTTGCTGTGCCAGGAAGTCCAACATGAAGAAAAAAGCCAAGAGCCACCTCCACATGGAAGGCCTCTTTGAGACAAAGTTCTCTACTCACCTGAGGACTGCCACCCCCATCATCCGTCACTCCCCCCAGATGACGATCAAGAAGGCCATCAAGCAAAGACTCTGCTCAGGGTACACCCACTGGGCCTTGTGTGCTGATGCCTGTGCAGGGAGTCCCTTCCGGGATCACCTGAAGAAGCAGAATTTGAAAACAGAGATCCAACTCCTGGATCTCTGGCAAGACCTGCACCATTTCCTCAGCGTCCTGATGAGTAACAGGAAGACTGGGAACGCCATCTTTTGGCACATGCTAGGCAACCGAATCTGTGAGCTCTACCTAAATGAAGAGATTGGTCCACAGCTACCGCTCAAATCCCAAACCATTGAAGGTCTGAAGGCACTGCTGCCTTCTGGGAGTATGAACCCCTGGATCCCCAGAGCCCAGGAGGAGATCTGCCAGGTAGGTCATACCTTACAGAAATGGGTTCGTATCTGGAAGATTAGGTCAAAACTGACCTAAAATTCTGTCTGGTCATCTATACCAAGTTAATGATCTAATTACGCATATAGCCCTTCACCTATTGAAGAGTTGGTTAATCTTTTAGGTGTAAGCTGTACAAATTCCCAAGAACCAGCCAAAACTCCAAAGTCGAGGAGTGGTCCATATTCACCTTTTGTTCCTTCTTCAATTCCCTCTTATGTGGAGTCTCCCAAAACCATGGATCTCAGAGTATTCCACCAAGAGATGTTTTAATAACTCTGTTCTAAACATTATATATTGAAATGCAGGGTCTTTCTGTCCTGGAACCGCCAGTTGAGACTGTTCCAAGGACATGGCCAACTGAGAAGGGTTATTGTTTTTGTTTTGTTTTTTATCCTCACCTGAGGACATTTTTCCATTTTTTGTTCAGGTAGAGTGGGAGGGGGAGAGAGAAACATCGATGTGAAAGGGACACATCGAGTGGTTGCCACCCACACGACCAACCAGGGCCGGGGACAAACTGCAACCGAGGTACATGCCCTTAGTGGGAACCGAACCCGGGTCTCTCAGGACCGCAGGCCGATGCTCTAACCGCTGAGCCAAACCGGCCAGGGCGAGAAGGTTTCATTCTTACTCCAAAGCATTAGCTATAAAAGCAGGAGACCCTTCTGAAGACTCACAGAACATAGGCCCGTTGCTTGACTATTGCATCATCAAGATCTTGGGAGAAAACAAATGACAAAGTCAGCTGGGAAACAGATGTATGTCCAGTTAAAGGGGCTAATTACAAGGGAGTGGGCACGAGGGTAGGGAAATCACAGAGGATAGTACAATACCCCAGGGCCAGTACGCATGGTCACCTTTATCACTCTTAGGCCTGCAGAGTTGAGGAGAGGGAGTAGTTACCAGAACCAGGAGGGAAAGAGCTGCAGGGAATGGAATGCCAGCAGGAGCTGTAATTATCAGCAGGGGTATAGCCAGTCTACAGCAATCTGGCTGGGAGGGACCCTGGGGAACAGATACCCCAAACTCCCTCTACTCCTGCTTTCCCATCTCCTGTCAGGACTCTTGATAGGATAAATCCTACCAGAGGTCACGGAAGCCTGTTGATGTGTTCCATAGAGGTTAATTTCCCAAGGCACAAGCCAGGTGAAGAAGGGTGGCGGTTGATCTGGAGGGGCAAGTGGGTATAAATAGCAAATTATTTAGTACAGTATAATGTATTCTCCTTACATTACCTCTTCGAGGCTTCCTCGCACCTCCAAGAGATGGATAGGATAGTATTACTGTCACGTGTAAAATGAGGAAAATAAGACTCAGAGAGGGTAGGTGGATTAGCCCAAGGTACACAGCAGACTAGCAGAGGAGCCAGGGTCAGAACCCAGGAGTTCTTGGCTATAAGACCAGTACAATTTCTAGTATACCATCATTATCCAGGGTGGCAATCTGGGTAGTGTAGGACCAGATCAGTAGGTCTACAGCCAAAGCTCTCCTGTGCACAATTCTTCAGTATTGGAAGCTCAGAGTTCCCTTGCCCTTAGTGAAATGTGTTCCCTCTTCTCTGCTCCCAGAGAACTTTGTTCACATCTCTGTGGTGGCATCTGTCATGCTGCCATTCATCATGTAGAAGGTGAGCTCCTTGAGAACCAGGTTTGTAGCATATTGATCTGTACATTCCCAGCAATGGGCATAGTGTCTGGCATGTAGGAGGCACTCGGAAAATATTTGTCAAATCAATAAATGAACAAATCAATAATCTGAACATGAGAGTACAGATATATAAACCTAGCGAAGCACTAGCTTATAGGTTCTGTTGTTACTGTTGGGTTTTGTTTGTTTATTTATTTGGATGTAATGAAATATTCTTCACAAATGGGTAAGGTCTTCAAGTGGGAGATATTAAGAATAGACACACCAACCCTGGCCAGTTGGGCTCAGCAGTTGGAGCGTCAGTCCACAGACCAAAGAGTCTCGGGTTCGATTCCAGTCAAGGGCACATACTTTTGTTTGCGGTTCAGTCCCCGGCCCTGGTTGGGGTCATGTGGGAGGCAATCAATCGATGTGTCTCTCTTACATTGATGTTTCTCTCTCTCTCTCTCTCTCTCTCTCTCTCTCTCTCTCTCTCTCTCTCTCTCTATCTCTCTTCCTCCCTCCCACTCTATCTGAAGATAAATGGAAAAATTTCCTTGGGTGGGGATTTAAAAACAAAACAAAACAGTCCAGCCAGTGTGGCTCAGTGGTTGAGCATCGACCCATGCACCAAGAAATTGGGTTCGATTCCCGGAGACAGCCAATTGATGTTCTCTCCCATCCATGTTTCCATGTCTCTTGCCCTCTCCTTTCCTCTCGCTCTAAAATCAATAAAGAAAAAAAATTTTTAATAATAAAATAAAAACAAAACAAAGCAGTAGACACACCAAAAGGAGATGGTTGGTTTTCAGGACCATTTTGAGAATCAGATGAGATAATACTTGGAAAGGAACAAAGACATATGAGATGTCAAGTAATTGTCCTTCAGTAAACTATTTACTGTATCTCTTCTTAAGGAAATATTGATTACTATCCTCTGAGATTCAGAGAGAGGCTGTGTGAGCTGCCATATTTAGAAAGGCAGAGGACTGTCCCCTGGTTGTTCATGGCTAATGTTTGCTGTCCCATTGCATCTCCAAATCAGAGAACCCAAAATCTGCAGCCTACTCTGCTCCCATGTGAACACTAGCAGGCGAGATGCAGCGAGCTGAGCACCACCTCCTAACACTATGCTGGGTTTGAATTGCAGATGCTCAGCCCCTTGTATGATGAGTTCCTGGATGAAGAGGACTACTGGTTTCTCACTTTTTCAGTAGGAGGGGCTTTGAGTTGGGGAGGAGTCATGAGGTTGAGGGAAGACGAGAGAATAACCACTCTTTTAGAAGCCTTATTTGTTAAAGTAAATGAGTCTGATTTTTTTTTTTCTAGAGGCAATTGGGGGGTTGACATGGTCCCTGATGTTCTAAATACAAACCTCTCAAGGAAAAAGACTCAAGTACATAAGCTGACTTTGAAGGAGTCACGTGCATGCAGAATTTCCCTCTTTAGAAAATGAGAGGGAGGGGGTTGGTGTGTCGAGGAGCAATGGTTCTGAACAGTGGAAAACGACCAACCTGAGCCCGCAGGACGGAGACCCAGGAGGCCTGGGCTGATGCAAATATCTCACTGCTGGTCTCGTTCCTGTAGCAAATGTTGTCTGTCCCCTCCCCCTTCTCTTAGACTCAGACCAAGTTCATCAGCACCAAGTGGCATAAGAGAGAGTCTATAAGCAAAAAGGAGAACATCCTTCTTTATAAGAGGTTTGAGGAATCCCTGGCGTTAAGCCAGGGCTTGGCGAACATGGAGGAAATGGACTCTATGCAGTGGCAAAAACTGGCTACTGAGGACCTGAGACAAGGCGGGTCTCTCCAGGTAGAACTGAAGTCTCCAGTGTTTCTGACAGGTGAGCACAGTCACCAAAACTTTTTGGACCCTGACATATAGGCAACTGGGAAGTAAGAATAGTTTGCGTTTAGGGACTGTTGGCTGTGTCGGCGCTATGCAATGCAAAGATGACCTCATTTGCTCTTCAAAATAACCTAAGGTAAGTACTGAGTAACTGAGGCACAGAGAGGGTAAGTGACCCTCCCAGGGAGGTGGCAGGGACAGGATCTGAATCCAGACTGGCTGCAGCGGCCCCTGCTGGCTGTGAAGGGAGCCAGAGCGCTGGAGTGTGGCCGTGATGCCCACACAGCATCGCCACGGTGGAACTGAACCCTTCATCTCCTGCTCTGGTGACCGCGTTCTGCCTCACCGCCCCTCCCGCAGAATCCAGTCCAGAGTATTTCTGTGGATATATTTTTAACAGCGACCTTCCTTTCCCGACATAACGCCCAGCCTGCCCAGGCGGTGGAGATGAGCGGATGGAGCACGCTGCTCTGCTGTCTTACAGGCCTGGGGTCGCGAGCTCTGCTAGTGAACCTGAAACTTGAACAGTGCATTTTACCTCTCCTTAAGCCTCAGTTTTCCCATCTGTAAATTGGGAATAATAATAGGCTCGTTGCGAAGATGACCTGAGGTCATCTATGAAAGTTATTAGCACAATGTTGGGCAATAGTACAAGTCCAATGTCAGCTGCTGTTATTCATATTGAACAAATTGCTTTCACTGTCTATGCTGAAGCAGTCAGAACAAAGCAGTATTTCTTAAAGGCTGATCCACAATGAATGCATTTGACTTCAAGGAACATATACCTGTATATATATGTGTGTGCGTATAGATAGAAAATATTTTTCCATAACAATGATGCACTCTAATATTCTCCGTTCTATTCTATCTCACTTTGTAAACACCAGCAATGATTCCACTTATTTTCTGACATACTATTGAGTCGTGACCTACCCTTTGAAAAACGTGGATGGAGTAGGAGAGAGCAAAGGCTTGGACATTCAGTTCTATTACTCTCTCACTCTGCCGGCAAATGACCTCATCCCTCTGAGCCCTGTTCCCTCATCTGTGGAATGGGGATAATGGCCCCTACTTTGCAGGGCTGTTGAGAGGGTTTGGGGTGATCCATTTACACAGCAAATAGGTGCTCAGTAGGTAAGATTATACTAAAAGTGTAACATTCAACGCTTGAAACCTTTGCACTGCACGGGGCACTGCATGTACAAGTCAAGATGCCCTGGGTGTTTGCCCTCGGAGCCATGCTTGAGTGTGAGTTATTTAAACCCATCATGGCCCTGGCCGGTTTGGCTCAGTGGTTAGAGTGTCAGCCTGCGGTCCAGAGAGACCCGGGTTCGGTTCCCACTAAAGGCACGTACCTCAGTTGCAGTTTGTCCCCGGCCCTGGTTGGTCGTGCGGGTGGCAGCCACTCGATGTGTCCCTTTTGTGTCGATGTTTCTCTCTCTCTCTCTCTCTTTCTCCCACTCTGAACAAAAAATGGAAAAATGTCCTGGGGTGAGGGAAGGAAGGAGGGAAGGAAGGAAGGAAGGAAGGAAGGAAGGAAGGAAGGAAGGAAGGAAGGAAGGAAGGAAGGAAGGAAAGAAGGAAGGAACCCATCATGAACAGGCCCTCTGTTTTATCTGAGTTTCACCTTCTCTCCAAATCCCAAAAAATCCCGAACCTCTCCCAGAAGTCTAGCGAGAAGTGGGAGAGAGGGTAGCTGGTCAGTTTCACCACCCATATACAAGGCAACAGGCATCTCTGCAGTGGCCGTGGCGAGTCAGGGATGGCCAGGAAGTGGGAACCACCCTCCATGGGGACGCCCGCTCTTTGCCCCCAGCACACACGATTACTGCATGGTTTTTGGAACACGAGTTTGACCTAAGGGTCTCCTGTGCATTTGCCCATCTTGGGGCCCTGACTGCCAGGTAGGCTGTTGCCCCCATTCAGGCTACACCATAAATTCACGGAGCACCAGACCTGGAATACTCTCAGCTTTCATATGGAGAAAATGTATCTCAGAGAGGTGAATAGGTTGCCCAAGGTTGCTCAGCAAGGGAGAACTAGGAGCCCAGAACCATTGCAGAAATAGTCCACTGCTCTTCCAAATTTACAGCCAGATACCCTGGCTGAGAGATGCTAACGATGACAATGACATTTGACATAAGGGCGACAGACATCCGTGAGTCCACATCCTGGGATTCCTTCTGAACTCACCAGTGGACACAGAAAGCACTAGACTGCCCTGGACAGCCGTGTGCGACGAGGCGGGAAATGTCCGTGGGTCAGTGGTCTCCCAGAAGGCAGAGCCCTCCCGCCCTGGAGGGGAGGGAGGCTGCATCTCCTTCTAACTGGGCTTAAGGAGCTCATATTCTTTGTGTATAAACACTCCGTTCAAACACTATTGTCATACTTAAATAACATTTTAAAGGCAATACTTTCTACAAAAGTATATGAATCTTTGAACCCAGAGTGGGCAATTAGATTCTCCCTTATTTTTCTCTACCTGACAGACATAGAGAAAATGTCCTTTGAGGAACTCTGCTATAAGTATCCAAAGGTGGCCATAGAGAAGATCAGTGATGACTACAAAATATACTGTGAAAAAGCACCTAAAACAGGTAAGTGTTTAAACCCATAGATAGATTTGAGACAGCCAGATAGAAAGAATCTCCAAACTCAATGGGTCATACGCCAAAAGAGGAACCGTGCTTTGTTTGAAATGAGGGACTTTGTCCCCACCCCACCCCCATACAGCCATAGAAGGGCATCGTGAAAATGAGATGCAATTATAAATGAATGAGGATGAGGATAAAAATAGTTCATTCCTACCTTCTTGCTCTGGGGTTTTAAATAATGCAGATTTGTCTTCTGCGAAGTTCCTTGGAGTCAGAGATTTGTGGAAGGCGGTTTGTGGGGCACGTTCCGGGGAGTACCCCTGTAAGGGAACGAGGAGAGCAGGACTGGGCAGAGGCAGAGGCTGAACTTCGAGGCAGTTGCAGGAGACCTCACAGGCCTCCTAGGGATCTGTTTACCAAACCACACAGAAATTTCCTGGTGGGGGCATTCTATTTAGTGAATGGCTTAAAAGACTGACTATAACGAGGCATGTTCTCATTTCTGGAGGACTGAGTACCACCCCGCCCCTCCCCTTTCCACAGTCTGGATCATTTCCGACGATATTAACAACCTCCGAAGGCTCTTGAATACTAAAATGCTTCGAGTCTGTTCTGTAATAGTAACGTTTTAACGTAGTTTTGAAACGGGTTTCTAAATGGCAATAGGGCACCCGACACCCACTCCAAACTGGGTGGTGTGACGAAGACCACTCGAGAAGCTTGCTGTGGGAGCAGTGTCCTGGGAAAGGGGTTGGCTCCTGTCAAAGCACAATGTGAAGGGAACTCTTAATGAAGAGGTCGAGCAAGGATCCGTGAGGGTTTGCTGATCACAAAGCAGGAATTCCAGGGGGCAAGTGGAAGGGGGAGGGGGGGTAGCAGAGGGATCCAGGAAAACAGTATGTGGCCTAGAAAAATGGCTGATCGGGCCCTGGCCAGTTTGGCTCAGCAGTTAGAGGGTCAGCCTACAGTCCAGAGAGACCCGGGTTTGGATCCCGCTAAGGGCACGTACCTCAGTTGCAGTTTGTCCCCGGCCCTGGTTGGGGTCGTGTGGGTGGCAACCACTCAATGTGTCTTTCTCGCATTGATGTTTCTCTCTCTCTCTCTCTTCCCCTCTCCCTCTTGCTCTATCTAAAAGATAAATGCAAAAATGTCCTCGGGTGAGGATAAAAAAAAAATAAAGGCTGATTGGGGAAGGGATGCCACTTGGGGCTGAAATGGGAAGGAGAATTATGATGGACGAGGTCTCAGCCATCTTCAGAGGAAGGTGGGCTCTGTACCTAACAGCCAACAGACTTACTGATGTTAGTGCCGGAGGCTAAAATCATCCTCCAGTCTCTTAAGCACTAATGGCCTTTGCATCCCTCGCACTGAAGGCCTGAGATGGTGACCACTGTGGGGACTGTGGTTTTTCCACATGCACTCACTGTCCGGTGATGTCCTTGCTGCTTTGTCCCTTCTTCTTCTTCTCTGCAAAGCTTTTTATAACATGGTGTTGCCCAACTTTGTAACTTCTTCTTAGATTTTACAGTGAAAATCGACAGAGAACCAAAGATATATTTATTCGCAAATAGGAAAACGTCCATAAAAAAGTTTGGTGTTGCAAGGAAGCCTTCGGTAAGACCCAGGTAAAACATAGGGTCTGGTTATCCTGATCTCCCCAGGCACAGGCCTGGAGTGAACTGATTTTTCTGTGTGTTAGTTTCCAGACTCTTTTCCATCTATCACACATACATGCACAGGCATACTAAGCATGTTCAATCATTATTTATTTTCTAAACCTGACACCATGCAATATATATTGTACAACAACTTTTTCAACATAACAAACTATTATGGACATCCTTTTATGTCAGTATGTACAGGTCTACCTCCTTCCATAGTGTGGAGGTAGCCTGATTTATTTAACTAGATGTTTTTTGTGGACATTTATATTATCTTCAACTTTTCACTGCTAATTAGTCCCATGACAAACATTTTTGCACATGTATCCTTGCATGTTTGTGTTTTCTGGATTGTGTACGACTATAGTGGCCTCCTAACTGCTTCCTTACTTCACGTCCCCCCCTCCCCCCTATAATCAGTCCTAGAGTTAGCCTCTGGGAGGCTCCACTGTTAGGCAAAGACTTCTTTCAGAAGTCCGCCCTCACCCTTATTCCACTTATCTTAGTACAAATGCCACCTCTACTTAAAAAGTTCTCCAAGCGTATGACTTCCCTTGCCTCTGAAACACCAAATCCCTAAAACACAGCCCCAAGCACTTACCATGTACTATTTTGTACTGCTCTTTATTTTCCAGGTGTGTTTTCTACCTTCTTGACTATAATTTTCTTCTAAGTCATGCCATTCATTCAGTCATTCTTTTTTTTTTTTTTTTAATTCCGTGACTATTAATGACTAGCTATATGGAAAGTTCTCTTATCGTGATATATTAGCACATACAAATGTGGTAGTCAAAGTCAGTGGCAGAATATTTGCGTAGAGAAAGTTCCCAGAAGTATGTTTTCAGTAACTGCTCACATTCATAGGGCGTGATAAGTTCTCTGCCTCTTTTAAATAGTCTAGAGAGATGTTTCTCCCTTTCAAAGAACTGGAATTAATCCCTAAAGTTCACTCTTTTATTCACTTTGCTATTCCAATTTGTGCTACTTACCACTTTTCACTATGTCTACAGAAATACCTATTTTCCAATTTAGTTGAATACAAATATCACATAAATCTTTTCTAAATCATATATTCACACGATCATTAAGTACTAGAGGGAATATGCAGGGTTATATAGTCCAGTTCATGCCTTTAGCTAAGACTAGAGCAGGGTGGCTGAGGTATAACACAATTGCAACTTTCTTAAACCTTGTCCCAGCCCAAATTCAATCTAATAAATAATCCCAAACACTCAGTGGATGCTAATAATACCAAAAAAGACATAGTCCTTGCCCTTAACCTAATACATAACTAAATATATTATAATAACTTACCTTAAAATGTTATGTATGATACAATACTGACTAATTACTATGAGAGTATAATGGAAACAAGAAATTTTGAGTGAGGGTTAGGAGAACTTGGAGTATCAAAAGAGCCCCTGATTTGCATGTAGGAATTCGATTGCAAAGAAATGGGAGTATTTTGTGTGCAGAGCTAACCTTCCAAGTTGAAGAAATGACACAAAGAGATAAACTCAGAAATATGAAAGTGGTATTCAAAGACTTGAAAGTAGTTCAATGGTGTTGAAGCACAGAATGCATGGGGAGAAGGGACATAAAACATAAAATTAGAAAGCTAGATTGAGACTAAAATAATAGAGCCATGGAATAATAGTTGGAAGGTTGTTGCAGTGGTTTGGGCAAGTGATATTAAAGACCTGAAGTTTATAGTGGAAGTAGATACATAAGGGAAGATACAGATTAAAAAAACAAAATAAAACACTGAATATGAGGAATTGGACTTCTGGAGTAGTGGAGTAAGAACCTCAAAAAATTCTCTCCATAAAAACAATGGTAAAACTGGACAAACCTGTCAAAAATTTTAGAACTCTATAAATTATAACATCCAAATCTTCAGTTAAAAAATTATGATACATACCGCCCCTGTCCCCCCCCCCACACACACACACACACACACACACAAACCCACAGGAAAGTATGGCTCATACACAGAGGAGAAAAAAGCAGTCATTAGAAAATGTCTCAGGTGATTCAGATATTGGACTCTCTAAAGACTTCCAAACAATATGTTCAATGAACTAAAGGAAACCATGTTTTAAAAAATTTAAAGGAAAATATAATGGCTCAGCAAATAAAAATATCAATAATAAGATAAAAATTATAAAATAGAACCAAATAAAAATCTGGAGTTGAAAAGTACAATAACTGAAATGAAAAATTCACTAGAAAGTATCAATAGCAGATTAGAGTTGGCAGAAGAATTAGTGAACTTGAAGTTATCTCAGTAGACATTATCCAGTCTGAAAGCATCACAAAACTAAACATCAATAGAACCTCAAAGACCTGTGAGATACCATCAAGAACACCAACATACAAATAATGGAAGTATCAGGAGAGGAAAAAGAGATAAAGGGGCAGAAAAAATATTTGAATATATAATGGCTGAATACTAATCAAAACAGACTAGAAGCTTAATGAATTCCAAGTACGATAAACTTAAAAAGATTCACTCCTAGACACATCAGAGTCAAATTACTGAATGACAAAAATATTACAAACATAGTCTGGCCGGTGTGGCTCAGTGGTTGGGCATTAACCCATGCACTAGGAGGTCACTGGTTCGATTCCTGGTCAGGACACAGGCCCAGGTTGTGGACTCCATCCCATGCAGGAGGCGGCCAATCGATGTTCTCTCATCAATGTTTCTATCTCTCTCTCCCTCTCACTTTCTCTCTCTCTAAAATCAATAAAGAAATAAAAATATTTTTTAAAGATTAGAAACATAGTCTCACCATATCAATGATAATTGAAACCACTTCTTCATATCAATGAAAATTGAAACCATAGAGGAGGCAGAGATTACCCAGGGGAAAAAAAATATCATAAGGCAAAATTCAAGAAGATTGGGGATGAAACAGTAAGGGAACCTATATTTAAGGAACAGTGAAAAAGAAATCTGCAAAGGAAATTTAGAAATATTGATCAATAACTGCTGATCACTTGTACTTAACCTCACTGAAATGACTGACAGTTAGGGATTGTTTTGAATCCCTAATGTAAAAAGGTTTCCTTGAAAAAAATTATTCCCCTTTAAAATACTTCTCCTCCTTACCCTGGCTGGTTTGGCTCAGTGGTTGGAGCGTCGGCCTGCAGTCCAGAGAGACCCAGGTTCGGTTCCCGCTCAGGGCATGTACCTCGGTTGCAGTTTGTCCCCGGCCCTGGTTGGGTTGTGAGGGTGGCAGCCACTCGATGTGTCCCTTTCACATCGATGTTTCTCTCTCCCCCTGCCCCCCCCCACTCTATCTGAACAAAATATCAAAAAAAAAGAAAAAGAAAAAGTTAAAATACCTCTCCTCCTCTTCCACTGGGGTTGTCCAATGATTGAACCAAGCTTAGGATGGATACATAAAAATTTATCTCCAAGGAAATAAGAGTAACCAACTCCTTCACTCTGATCTTCACATAGTTAAAGGCCTGCAGCCTGCAGCCTGCAGCCTGCCAGAAGACCTTCCCCATTTCCTACCGAGAGCAGAATCCAGGGTCACCATCCAGTCTCTCCACCAATGATGCTTTCTTATTTCCAGAAACCTGACGGAAGTCCTCCTAAATACAAACCACTTGGAGTTCTTCATGGAGTTCCTCAGAGAAAGGAACGCCGAGGGCCCCCTGGAATTCCTGGTAGCCGTACAGAAGATCAGTATGGAGGCGAATGAATACAGTAGCAGGTTGCTTATTGAAAATACTGTCAGGACTTTCTTCCATGGCTCAGTCTCTCCTGGTATGCAGCCTCTTCCCCTGATACTGTTTGCTTCTCCCTTTAGTCTCTTAGAAGTCTGGAAAAGAGGTGGTCTTGAGTGAGTTCCCTAAAACAGCATAACAGAACAGCTGCCCTATGTAGCAGTATTGAGACAAAGATGAAGAGGGACAGTCAAAGCAGGGAAAAATAATGAATCTGAAGTAAATTACTAGTAAATTACTAGTAAATTACTAGTAAAAGAAGCCATGTGCAAGAGAGTTGCATTTGTATGTGAAATACATCCTCTCATTTAATTTTATTCAACCCTGAAAATAAGATTATATTTAATCCTAGAAGTTTGAGATAGCTCTACTTGACTAATGAGGAAGGTGAAACAGAGGAGCTAATTAACGTATCCAGTCGGTGGACCTTGAATTCAAACTCAGGTTGTTTGACCTTCAAATCAACTGGACTAGAGTTAGATACAAAAGCAAGAGTACGCTGTATGCAAAGTTGGAGTGTCCACCACTCGACATCTTGTTTTCTTGCCCGAAGTGAGAGGGTAAATCTGACCCATGTAAATTTATTTGGCCAGAAGCAGGCGTTGCCTGTAAATTATTGGGCTATAAGTCTGGGGGGGGGACAGAAAGGGGTGGGCTTGGTTCCATTGGAGATAAACAAGCAAAGTAATGAAGATAGCGCCTCCTATTTTGACACAAACAGATGGTGTGTGTGTGTGTGTGTGTGTGTGTGTGTGTGTGAGTTTTGCCTGTGATAAACCAAGATAAGGTTATAGATTTTATCAAAATAGAAAGACATAAAATTGGCAAACCTTGTAAGAAATATTTATTTGTTAAGTCTTGGAATATCGAATTCTGTGCATTGTTTTGAATGAACTAGAAGAGATGCTGCCCTTGGTAAGTTTTCAAGTCATAATAATGAATATCATAGTCTTTGAACAAAAATTGCATTGCCTTTACAATACTTGTAATATTGGGTTTCCATCTGCCCCAGCCATTAACTTTAATCCTTTGTCTGTCCCTTTCCTAAACCCAAATCTTCAAACTAGCTGCAGAAATGAATCTTTTAAACATGTATTCCTCTTACACACTTATCTGAGATTTGAGTGGAACTAAACTAAAATAGGACAGTATTTACTCTACAAAGCACTTGCACATAACATTCCAAAGATGCTTTTGAGATTTTCAAACGAAGTGTGGCGAGTCCAGAGTCTAGCCAGACTGGAATAAGGGACTGTGAGGCTCTCAGATGGAAACCCGCCAGCTGCCTCAGATGGCTTCTTTCTCCCCCTCACTCCCCTCCTCCCCCTCTCTGTGTCATTTTCTAGAAGAACTGCTGATGTGCGACACCCCTCTCATCAAAGAAATCTCTCAGATGCGTTACGTCAGCACAGCCTCACTGTTAGCTCTCCAGAGCGTCGTCCTGAAGTCTCTGGAAGAAAAATGGTGAGTACCGAAGGCACTGTCCAGAGCTGCTCATCGGCTCCGGGAGGCACCACCACCCAAGGAGTCTCTGAATCCACTCACAGAGCCCTTGTCAAGCCTCCCAGCTGAAGAAAAGCCAGACTCTTCTTGAACTCTCTTACCTGCCTATTACCTGCGTGTGTGCACACACACACACACACTTTCACACACACACACTTTCACACACACACACTTTCTCTCACACACACTTTCTCACACACACTCACACACTTTCACACACACTTTCTCACACACACTTTCTCACACACACTTTCACACACACACTTTCTCTCACACACACTTTCTCACACACACTTTCACACACACTTTCTCACACACACTTTCTCTCACACACACTTTCTCACACACACACACTTTCACACACACACTTTCACACACACACTTTCACACACACTTTCTCACACACTTTCTCTCACACTTTCTCTCACACACACTTTCACACACACTTTCTCACACACACTTTCTCACACACACTTTCTCTCGCACACACACTTTCACAGACACACTTTCTCACACACACTTTCATACACACTTTCTCTCGCGCACACACTTTCACAGACACACTTTCTCACACACACACTTTCACACACTTTCTCACACACACACTTTCACACACACACTTTCACACACTTTCTCACACACACTTTCTCACACACTTTCACACACACTTTCTCACACATACTCTCACACACTTTCTCTCTCACACACTTTCTCACACACACATTTTCTCACACACTTTCTCTCACACACACTTTCTCTCACACACACACTTTCACAGACACACTTTCTCACACACTTTCACACACTTTCTCACACACACTTTCTCACACACTTACACACACACTTTCTCACACACACTTTCTCTCACACACACACTTTCTCTCACACACACTTTCTCACACACATATACAATTCTGTTTATTTGCCTGAACAAGAAACAACATAGTACTGATTGGGAAGGACAGGCCAACCTTAGCAAAGGTCTAAAATCATAAGAAGAGTATTTCTGAGTATCTTGATAGTCCCCAGTTTCCACCTCGACTTCCTCCAAAAGCAGAAATAGGTTTGCCTTGGCTGTGAACTTGGATGTGCCAGGCTTTGGCCTCCTCTGACATTTTGGCCTCCTCCTGGCAGGTTTAGAGAGTACCAGGAGCTGTTCCCAGCCTTCCCTCTGGAAGGGCAAACTCCAGCACGAGCTGTGCCCAGGAAGGCCTCGAAGAACGCGACCACTCACCTGCACGAACCCCAGGTCAGTGAAGAAGCCAGGCACTAGGACGAAAAACCGCTGCCTAGGCATTGCCAACCGTACGAGAGTTTCACTGTTAGCTTATTCAATCACCGAAACAACTACCCTTTGGGGTAGGTTTCTGAAACTCCATTTTATGAAGGAGGGATCTGAGTCTCAGAAAAATTGTTACAGTGAGAATTTAAGGAAGTCCCTCTCTTTAGTGTCTTTGTGCCAGGCAGAGGTCACTCATGGAGATCAAAATGTCAGGTTTGTTGTTGTTATATTTGTTGTTTTTATTGCTGAAAGCTACTTTCAAGGACATGGATTGACCATGAAGCCAAAAGAGTTTGATTACCCTCTCTTGCACCCAAATTAAATTTACATGTCCAGTCACTGTAGCATAATGGAACACCTGAGGCCTCCACTTACCCTGGTGAGCCCCTTACTGTATGAGAAAGAGTGGGCCTGACATGTGTCCTGGAGACAAACACCTCCCAGAGAGAGAACGCAAAGGACCAAGAGCAGACCCTACCTGCTTCCTTCTTCCAAACTCATCAATTAGCTAACTCATTCTTTCTCCCACTGGAGAAGATAAAAGGGAAAGAAAGAGAAGACAGGTATGTTATTCAAGAAAGTTTTTATACGGTTTGAGAAAATAAGAATAATGTTAACCTCTTAAATAATTGTATGTTCAATGCATTATGGAGTTAGTTCGTATCAGGAAAATTTGAGCCCAACTCTGACTTCAAAGATCATGCCAAGATATTTCTGAAAATAATGCCTTATGCCCGTGGATCTAATATTCCAGATATGAAAATGGACTTCCCAGGCCTTTCTTCCTTTTATACCCTCCATGCATGAATCAACTCCATGTCAGGGTCCAGGAATGTAGGACATTGGAAAGAATACTGCACCCGGAACCAGGACGCTTTGTCTTGATTTCAGGTCTTCCTGTTGCTTTTAGATAAGAAAAAAATAAACAGAAAACCAACATGCACATATGCCTACTTTGTGCCAAACACCGTATTAGGGTTTTCATATATCATCACTAACCCTTCACCACAACCACTATTGTTTCTTACACATGGAGACATGGATGCACGGGTTAAGTAAATTAACCCAAACTCTACAATTAGGGTGAGCTAGGCTCTGAAGGCATGCATCTACTGAAGTTCCCTGCCTGTAGAATGAGAAAACGAAACTTAGATCAACAAGATGCTTTCTGGCTCTCAACATCGATTTCTCAAGGGGTCAATGAACTGGAGAACAGTCGCTAGGTATCTGTGGAGAAATGGATGAAGAAACTTATCAAATGAATATGTGTGTGCACGTGCATGCGCGTGGCAGGTAAGTGTGTGCATCTCATTATTTGTTTTCTTTTTTTAATGCTTAGAAATGGTTTTACTCATTTCTTTATTTTTTTCAACATTTCAAATTCTGCCTGAGTCATTATTCCCTTCTTGTGAATCATACTTATCTCTGGCCTCTGTGTCTTCCTGTTTTTAGCTCTCACACCTCCTCTCCCAATCACGGCAACTCAAATCTTCACTGTTGAAAGACTATGATGCAAAGAGCATGGCTGATGGCCCCAGACACGCCTGGTTGAAGTCGGACTCTTCCATTCAGCAGCTGCTTGCTCTGGGGAAGGTTATACGAGTTCTCTGACTTGAGTTTCCTGGGCTTTAAACTGGAGCTTAAAATCATTCCTTTTAAAGGAGGTGTTGTGAGGATTGCATGTAAAGAATGTCAAGTTCCGGGGCGTAGTTCGCTCTGTGGACAACAGCCGTAGTAATGAATGTGTCATACCCCTCTCTCTTCCCGCAGAAGAAAGTCTGGACGAAAATGACCAACTTTATCAAGAGCTTTTGCAAGTACCGTAGATATATGTCCAACGTCAGCATGCGCCAGGAATTTGAAGAATATCTTCACCTGGAAGTACAAAACAAGGAAAGTAAGTCACGTCCCCGTTTGGTTTCAGCAGCAGGGCTAGCCCACAGCGGAAGCTGCAGAGCTATGGCTGTGTGTCATTCATGCCTGCGTGAGCCTGGGGTCCTGCAAGAAGCCCAGGTCCTGGGTGCAAAGCCAAGCCCGGGCCTTCCCACAGAGGATGGGGGCCCAGGAGCTTCTGCTCGGAGCCAGCAAGGGTGGCGAATGAACAATCTAAAGCAGTGTGAGATCTCACATTTTACAAAATGATCTCATGTTGTTCGTCTGAAGTAGCAATTTATTAAGTTGTTTCATTCATTCATTCAACACACTGATAATGTGGCAGGTGCTTTGCAGGGTGCTGGGGATACAGTGGTGAACATGCAGCATAGGATCTGCTCTCAAGGCACCTCTCGTTTTGAGGGCAAGGCAGAAAATAAGAGCCACAGATGTTGGAGCCAAATATCCTGGGTTTGACTCATACTTTTTAACTGAAGGACCTTGTGAAAGTGACTTTTTGCCTCAGTTTCTTCATCTGTAGAATGGGAATAAGTGTGCCTATCTCAGAGAGTTGTGAGGATTAAGCGAGTTAATATATATAAAGCATCTTAGAACTATTCGTGGCAACAGTAAGTGCTATAAAAGGCTCAGCCAGTATTCGTGTTATTATATCATTGTGATGCCTGATCCCAGTGATGATCGTAAGGAGACCCTAAATTAGTGGAGGGGGAGGGGGTCAGGAAGGCTTCTCCCAGAAAATGGCATGAAGTTGAGTTTTCAGGGATGAGCAAGTTAGGCAAGCAAAATAGGAGGGAGTGATTTCTAGGTCTGCATAGAATCCTAAAATAGGAAAGAGACGGTGTAGTTCTGGGACTTAAGGGCCATTTGGACTAGGGATTAATGAGATGGGGAAAGTATCCGAGATAAGACTGGAGGAATTGATAGTGACAAATCTCATCTCTCTCTCTCTTTTTTTTATCCTCACCCGAGGACATTTTTCCATTTTTCAGATAGAGAGGGAGGGAGAGAGAGAAACATCGACGTGAAAGGGACACGTCAAGTGGCTGCCTCCTGCACGGCCCAACCAGGGCCGGGGACAAACTGCAACTGAGGCACGTGCCCTTAGCGGGAACTGAACCCGGGTCTCTCTGGACTGCAGGCCGATGCTCTAACCGCTGAGCCAAACCGGCCAGGGCTCATCTCTCTTGATGACCTGTGAGTTGTTCCAACTCTCACTTTAACAAACTATGCTGCAAAAGTTATCTATTTTGCAACTGTCAGTTTCTATGAAACTTTTAAAATGGAAGTAATGGGTACATGGTTAAAAATAGTTCAACTGTGGCCCTTTAAAAACATTGCACTAATTAAACTCTCTCCAACAGTATAAACGAGGGCCATGTTGTCACCAAGTGTGGGCTATTGTACATTTTTTAAAAACTGCCAATCTGGCAGACGAAAAACCATGTGCCATTCTTACGTATTTTTCTTTGATAGTTGAGCACCTTTATTCATTGGTTATTTGTATTCTTTCTGGACTGTTTACATCCTTTGTCTGTTTTTCTATTGGAATTTTAATATTATTTTCTTTTCTAACTTGTAAAAAGGTTTTGTATATATATTTCATGGACAGCTTCACAAGCAGACATTTAAGATTTAAGAACAGTTCTAGCTCTTTGGTTTCTTCTTTGAAGTAAAATCAACTCAAACCCTTATGCATATTACTGTATCTAGATTTCTTGGGTGGGTTTAGCACCCTCTTGCCTAAAATTCCTGACTATCATATCAATTTCCACTGTTTTTCTGACTTTTTTTCTTCTTTAAACTCAAGTCTCAGAGATAAAGAAAAAGAGACTGTAAGATAGTTCGGAGAGACCTTATGCTTTGTAACCCTGAGACCTAAGACAGTGTTTCGGACTCAACAGGTATTAGGTATTTATTGAATATTGTGATTACCCTCCCATCCAAAAGAATCCCACTAGACAGTTTCTTTTCTTTTTTTTTTTAAATATGTTTTTATTGATTTTTTTTTTTATTTAGAGGAAGGGAGAGAGAACTAGAAACATCTATGTGTGAGAGAAACATTGATTAGCTGCCTCCTGCACGCCCCCTATGGGGGATCAAGCCTGTAACCCGGGCACGTGCTCTGACGGGGAATTGAACCGGGATCTCTAAGTCCATGGGATGACAGTCAATCTACTGAGCTTCATGCCGGGCTAGAAAGTTTCTTAAACCCAGCCAGGCACTGAACTAGGGTCCACTTGTCAGATGCAGCCCCAAACTGCTCTCTTCTCAGCCCTGAATCCCTATGAGTAGGTTTATTTGAGTACATCCTAGTCAAGAAACTTTTAAAAATAAATGTCTTAGTTTTTCTGAGATACAAGCCAAACCTTCTAGAACCTTCTATGCTCTCCTGTACTCATTCCTGTCTTATTTCTACTCTAGCCTCATACCCTCTGTTTCTTCATTAACTTCTTTATTCTTTATATTTTGGCTTTTTGTTTGTGCTGCTTTCCCAGTTCACTTCTAAACGACTTCCCTGATAAACCTTGATAAGCATCATCAGAACCACACACTCTATTCTGAAGGTCACCTCTGCACATTTCGTTTCTGTTAGGGATTGGCATAACTACCGTGTGCTTCTATCTCGGACAACAAGACACCTTTCAATAATCCCTTGATTGGGGAGGGGGTGTATGTATGTTGTCATACCATCGAGCAGATGGCTTTCCCAGCAGCCCTTCAAGTCCAAGTGAAAGGTTGAACCCAATGATAGGGAGTCACTATTTCAAAAGGCCCCAAAGTGAGTCTGCAGTTTCTTTCATTTTAGTTATGCCCAGATGGAAGGCTTCAGGCTTAAGAGGGACTTGCTCGAGCCAGCTGCTAACTCCTTCCTCCTTCTCTTTCAGATATCCCTGCATCCCCCACTGTACCCGTCCGCCCACCCCCCCATCAAACAAATGTCCGCAGTGCAGAGGAGAATGGCGATATCATCCTTATGAAGCGCCGTATATTTGGCCACAGGATTATCACCGTCAACTTTGCCCTCAATGATTTGTATTTCTTTTCTGAAATGGAGAAGTAAGTTTCCCACCTCACCTTCCCCTTGTGGCTTCCCATGCTTAGTATCTCCTGGCAAAGACCAGAGTGGCCTGTAAGTGGCGCTGTGATTCCTGGCACTCCCACCGAACGCTGTCACTCTATCAGTTCCCACCATCGTTCCCCTTGGATCCTGAAGCTTCTGTATTCTGGAGTTCCCGATGCTGAAATGCACTTACCTATACCCAGGATGTGGAGCCCTTTGTACTGTTACTTATGAATATGATAGAAATCCTCTTCTGTAGCACCATTGGACCAAGAGTTCTTTTTCAATTTATTGATTTGAGAGAGAGAAATATTAATTTGTTGTTCCACTTATTTATGCATTTATTGGTTGCTTCTTATACGTGCCCTGACCGGAGACAGAACCTGCAACCTTGGCATAGCAGGACAACACTCTAACCAACTGAGCTACCCAGCCAGGGCTGAACTAATAGTTCTTTAGTTAAAGAAAGGAATTATAATAATAAGGTTGTGTGTGTGTGTGCATGACTTTAAACAGTACTTTTAAGTTAAAACACATTAATGTTCATTCACTCACCTTCAAACTTTGGATGCAAAGCCAAAGCTGTTCCACTAATTGGGGTCCACCTGTGTTTCTTGCATATGCTATCCCTACAGTGCTATCTACTGATCCTAATTTTTCTCTCATTAAAGTGGAATGAGAACTTAAAGGTTACTGCAAAACAACTTAATCCTTCTGGATTTTTATTCTTGTCTTTTCAATGTTCGAAATTGCCTTGCCACACCTAAAGCAATAGCAATTTTTTTAAAAAGCAACTCACCTTTATTGGAACATTCCAAAACATCTGATTTGTTCTCATAGATACAACAAATACCTTCAATTTCATCTTGGTGTTTTGTTCATTTTCATAAATTTGCAGTATAGTAACAAGTACAACAGGCAGAAACATTTGGGAAGCAACAGGGAGGACTCTGGGGACATGTCCGCTGCAGTGGGAGCAGGGCGAGCTGTACTGAGGTCGCAGCAGTGCGCAGTCCCCTGGCCGGTGTGTTTCCGGAAAGGCAGAGCCCTGGGAACTCAGCGCATCCTTTGGGGTTCAGAGCGTTTCCCACCGCACCCCAGTGAGGGGCTTAGCTCCGTTCCACAGACACTGATGGATGGCTTGATTATTCTTGGCACTGGATTCGGCACTGGAGATACAAAAAGTACCAGTAAGACATGCTCTCCATCCTCCACATCCCACAGAATGGGGGTGGCAGAAAAGACACGAAGCTCAGAAGTGGGATGCTAGGTGCTATGGTTGAGCCAGGACGTGATGGAGACAGCTGAGTCCCAGGTGTGGTTTCGTGGCAGACAGGTCACCTACGCTGAGTTTTGAAGAATGCGGAGGGGTTAGTTACATGTGTAAGGGGGAGATGAGCAGGGAACAGGAAGGAATGCCAGTCCGGGTGAACAGCCTCCCCCTGCTGCCCCAATTCCATCACCATCATCTCTTTCTCACTCGCTCACTACAAACCGTTCCCTGCACAGCAGCCAGAGAGCTTGTCAACAGTGTCAACCAGAGTATAACACCCTCCTGCCCAAAATGTTCCAGTGGCTTCCCGTTTCCACTAGAATCCAGTCCAAGCTCCTCCCATTGCCTAAATGGCTCTGCGCAAGCAGGACCTACCTACATCTCGGGGCACCTACTGCATCTCGGGGTACCTACTGCATCTCGGGGTACCTACCTGCATCTCAGGGTGCCTACCTGCATCTCAGGGTACCTACTGCATCTCAGGGTACCTACTGCATCTCGGGGCACCTACTGCATCTCAGGGTACCTACTGCATCTCAGGGTGCCTACCTGCATCTCAGGGTGCCTACCTGCATCTCGGGGTACCTACTGCATCTCAGGGTACCTACTGCATCTCGGGGTACCTACTGCATCTCAGGGTACCTACCTGCATCTCAGGGTGCCTACCTGCATCTCGGGGTACCTACTGCATCTCGGGGTACCTACCTGCATCTCAGGGTGTCTACTTGCATCTCGGGGTGCCTACTACATCTCGGGTTACCTACTGCATCTTGGGGTGCTCACCTCCTGCTACTTGCCTTTTGCCCCAGGCTCCAGCTCCGAGGCTCTGCACTCTGCTCCTCCCTGGCTGCAGATGACTGTCTTTTTCTCTCTTATTGTCTGCGTCTCAGTGTCTTCCCCCTTCCCAGTGACATGCCCTTTTGTTGTCTTCATAACCTCCACTGCATATTTAATTATTCACCTGTTTCCTGATGCATCTTCCTCCCTCACTGACTGCGAGCTCCTGGGAAGCTGGACTTTGATTACTTTGTTCACTACTGAATCCTGCTCCTGGGGCTGTGCCTGGCACAGTGTAAACCCTCACTGAAAAATGCTCGTTGACTGACTACATGAATGGAGATGGGAAAACCTAGTGTTCTACTATTAGGAAGACTTTAAGTTATTAAATTTTTACCTGGCCTGGGAGAAGTCAGCTGTGTACATAAATCAAGATAAGGTATAAATGATAGATATTTGATGGTTACTGAAAGAACATGTTGCAAGGAGACAGAAGGTGTGGATGGGACTTCCAGGAGCTGGGGGAGGTGGGGATGGGACATTCAGGAGCTGGGGAGGTGGGGGTGGGACTTCCAGGAGCTGGGAGGTGGGGGTGGGACATCCAGGAGCTGGGGAGGTGGGGATGGAACATTCAGGAGCTGGGGAGGTGGGGATGGGACTTCCAGGAGCTGGGGGAGGTGGGGATGGGACTTCCAGGAGCTGGGGGAGGTGGGGATGGGACTTCCAGGAGCTGGGGAGATGGGGGTGGGACTTCTAGGAGCTGGGGGAGGTGGGGGTGGGACTTCCAGGAGCTGGGGAGGTGGGGGTGGGACATTCAGGAGCTGGGGAGGTGGGGGTGGGACATCCAGGAGCTGGGGGAGGTGGGGGTGGGACTTCATGTTAAATGGGTATGAAGTTCGAGTTTGGGAAGATAAAAAAAGTTCTGGAGATGATGGCGGTGAGCATCACACAACAGTGTGGATGAACTTAATGCCACTGCAAAACAGTTAAACTGGGGAATTTTATTTTATGTATATTTTTTTATAGTAAAAAAAATTAATAAAAGGAATATGTTGTTTCAGAGACTGGTGATCATTGTGAGAGGGTCAGCAGAGGAAGGGAAAGAAAGAACAAGATAGCCCTCAGCCCTCGAAGCAGTCAGAGGGCCGGATGGGTAAAGAAGGGAGATGGGATAAATCAGGAAGTCGGTGATGGAGAAATACACTTGTAGAAGCACATAGTCTTAACATATTTGACACGCGGTAGGTACTCAGTTAGTATTTGCTGAAAGGTGAATTACGATGGAATGAATGAAGTCACCATCTGGCCCAGGATTTGGCCCTGTCTGTTTTAGGCCAGAAATGGGCCTGGGCTGGCTGCCCTCATTAGCCACTGCTTTCCTCGTTGTTTATTTCCTACGTACTTCCTCTTTCTAGATTTAACGACTTGGTGAGTTCGGCTCATGTGCTACAAGTCCACCGGAACTACAATGAGAATGATGTGGTCCTGATGAAGTCCAAGATCAGCGTCATCCTAAGGCTCTACCTGCAGTCGGAGGTTCCTCCAAAGCTGAGGGTAAGGGGGACGGCCACCCTCCTCTGGCCTTGTGCTAAGGAGCATTTCCCCCCGAGAACCCCGAAAGCTAACTATCAGGCACCTCCTAAGTTCTGGGTCAGCCAGATACCCACCTAGCAGCCCCACCAAAACTTCTGCTTTCTGGGGAGGGGGTGGTCTTAAAGGTGGTGGGGGCCAAGAGAGGGTTTCTGCCTTCCCTGGAGCCTCTGCCAGTGACGGGCTCCCACTGTGGGTAGGTGAACATCTCTGAGTCGCAGAAGGAGACCATCCTTGCTGCCATCACAGAGGGCCGCCTCGATCGGAGCATCTTCCACGGGGCTATCATGTCTCTCTTCCCCATCATTATGTACTTCTGGAAAAGGTAACTCTCTCCCTCTCCTCACCAGGTCAGGAAAACACCTTTGACTTTCTAGAGAGTCTTTGACCTTCCTGTAGCTCTCTGTTCAGTGTTCAGGTTTGTGGGAACCAAGATGGTGTCTTGTCCTCCTACTCGGCTTTGTCCCTCACACTGAGCACTGAGCCAGAGGATGGGAGGCCAAGTAAGACCGGGATCGGAACACCTGGCTCCCAACTCTCCTTGCGCTGGCTTGAAACAAGGATGTTAATTTGTGTTAGGTGTAGGTTCTTCACCTAAGGGTGACAATGGACCGTAGCTACTAGGGAGCAATCTGTCAAGGCTGACACAGCTGTCCCCATGCTTAAGGAGCCTCATGGGGACAGTCAGCCAGGGGAGTTTTGCTCTATCATGCCCACATCCCATCATTACCAGTAGGGGCACAGTTGCTAGACATTTTGATTTTCAAGAGAAGCTGGAAATTCGGCTTCTTACATCATATCACCCCAGGTTAAAATAGGAAGTGTGGCAACCAACTCAAACCTACAACTTGGGGAGGAAATTGTGAAGCAGAGAACAGGCAGGACAGAGGCAACCGGGCCCACTGGTCCCTCGCCTGTCTTGCTAAGGTTTGGGCCGACAGACTCACCTATGTTTTTCTAGCTAGTTACCCACGCCTGTGGTCCACTGTGGCTCCAGCTCCCCCTTCCACATGGTGAATGGCAGTGCCCTGGGTGATAGTGACCACAGGACAGCTGGCTGATATGGCCCCAGACCAGGCAACTTGGGATGTTCAGAGTATTATGGTGATTCCAGTTCTTAGCAGTTCCCTTCTCCCACACACACTCACACAAAGGTTACTTTCTTAAAATAGAAGTATAAAGGTTGCTCACCAATCACCGACTTCCATGTTTAAATCCCTAGGATAAACTATTTAATCAGGATTGAAAGAATTTTTTTAATCATGTTCAAGATAACCAGGTGAGCCTTTTGAACACCAGTTGTTATCTAGCTCTTCAATCTGGACTTGATTCTGTGTCTGCTCACTGGGACTGAATAGAAATTTGTCCTGAAACTTTCTGGAGGATCAGAAAGTTCTGGGAAATATGTGATGCTTTTGGCCCAAGTCAGTGCTCGGTGCTCCCTCAGGGGGGCTTTGAGTCCTAGTCCTCTTGCAGGTGGTTCTTTACTTGCTTTCTTATATACTTATGAAGAGTCTTATATTGTGCAAACTGTGTCCATACCTATTATCTCAGATGAACCACTCAACAAGCCTGTGAGGTGGGTGGTGCGAAGTATTATTATTCCTATTTTATAGATGAGGAAACTGAGGTTCTGAGTGGTTAAGGGACTTGCCTAGGTAAGTGGTACCACTTGGTAAGTGGATTAGAAACCAGGTCTCTTGGTCTCTCAAGCACCCTAAAGGATGCATCCTTGGCATGTTGGGAGGCCCATGGCTGGAGGGAGTTTAGCAGGTGGAATGGGAGAAAGCAACTGTGATTGGGTGGAGTGTCCCTTGGGGAGGAGGAAGGTGGGCAGCAGTCAAGACCACCGGAGCCAAGGCAGGATAGAATAAAGCTAAGACAAGCCTCCAAGGGGTCCAATCTCAGGACGGGCTGAGAAATAGCAGGGGGCTAGGGCCAAGGTGGAGATGGAGAGTGTTGTGAGGGCATCTTGGGAGCCACTGTGCCAAGGTTGTCGTGAGTCTGAGTCTGAGTTCATGTTCTCACTCTACCAGGTGGGCACAAATGGGATCTCAGTCTGATGCCGAGGGGAGCACCCCAGGGTGGGTACCCCGGGGTGGGGTACAGCAGATTCTCTACAGACTCCATTCACAGGAGGCTCCAGAAGGAAGTCCCAACATACTGCCCGTCCCAGACCCTCACTGGAGCCTGGCAGCATGCGGAGGCAGGGGCTGTCCTCTTGTCTGTGGGACCCCCACCCGCTGTGGGGACAGGTCCTGGCCCACTTCCCGTGCTGTGTCACTGTCCCCTCGGTGGTGGATTTCTCCCTGTGACCAGAAGCCGTTCTTCTCACAGGTTTTGTTCCTGGAAGGCAACCCACTCTTACTTCCAGTACAGGGGCAAGAAGCCGAGTCACAGAAAGTCTTCTTCTAAAGCTGTGTGCAAGTACCCTGCTTGGAGCGGAGGTGAGCTCCGCCCGCCCCGCCCCTCCGCTAGCAAACAAGACTCCTGAAGGGAAGGCGTGGGCTGCAGGGACACACACACACATAATCTGCACCCAAGGATATTTTTCCATTGATTTATTTTAGATAGAGTGGGAGAGAGAGAACATCAATGTGAGATGTTCTTACATTGATTGGTTGCCTCCCGCATGACCCCCACTGAGGCCAGGGATCAAACCCACAACCAAGGTACATGGCCTTGGCCAGGAATTGAACTTGTGACTCTTTGGTCCACAGGCCTACGCTCTAACTGCTGAGCCAAACTGGCCAGGGCTTAAAGTATATTTAACTGTGGCTCTCAGTGCTGGCCAAAAGGTCCCCCCACCCCAGGGGTGGCTCCCCAGCATCACATCGCAGGATGCCTCTGGGCACACAGTACACAGTCTCCATGGTGGGGACATGGAGGTGGGGACCTGCTCTACTGCTGTTTACAAAGCCCCCACTCCAACCAGCTCCATAACTATGTTACAGTGTTAAATGAGAAAATTACAAAATGGAGGTAGAATATTATGTTACTGTGGTAAATACATATACAAGCATATATCTGATTTTTTATGAAAGCATGGAGAAAAAATAAGTAAAGACAGAGTGTTAATAGGATCATCTCTGGATGATGTCATTTTGAGAGATTTCTATATTATGAATATATTGGGTTTTTTTTGTTTGTTTGTTTTGTTTTGTTTTGTTTTAATCCTCACCCAAGGATACTTTTCCATTTTTTGTACAGATAGAGTGGGAGGGAGAGAGAGAGAGAGAGAAACATCGACGTGAAAGGGACACATCGAGTGGCTGCCACCCGCACGACCAACCAGGGCCAGGGACAAAATGCAACCGAGGTACATGCCCTTAGTGGGAACCGAACCCGGGTCTCTCCGGACCGCAGGCCGACGCTCTAACCACTGAGCCAAACTGGCCAGGGCAAGAATATATTGTTAATCGTGTTATTAACATATTATTTATATATTACTCACATATTTATAAATAAATGGAAAGACACACTTTTACATGTTTTCTTTGCACAGAGCAGTTCAACCCAGTCCCTTTCCCAACACCTGCCCTGAGATCAGCTCTTGAGCGAAATGAGTTTGAGAGAGAGACGGAGGGTGCACAGGGCAGTGCCGGGTAAGGGCAGGCTGGGTGACTCTGCGGCGGACAGTTCGGGGAAGCAAACAGAACAGGTCTGTGCACCTGGAGCGGTCCCAGCATCAGAACGCACTGTGCAGATTGGGGCAGGAGTTGTGAAAACAGCCGCCAGCTGTCCCAGGATGGAGTGGAACACCGCTCTTCCAGCTCACACCTGCCACCTGCCGTGCTCCTGTCCCTGCCCCTCCCCCTGAGCTCCCCCCCCCCCAAAAAAAAACATGTTGCCCCCTTCTTTGGGGCTCTGGAGACCTAAATCCTTCTCTGGGGAGCAACTCTGGCTGCAGAACCCAGCTCCTGCTCCCATGACCCCCTGAGAGGGTCCTCGCCTCCACAGGAAAAAATCACCCACTCCCTGGGGGCAGCTGCCCCTTGGGTCAAGGAACATGGCTCCATATCCTTGTCTCTGCCTTGTGAAATGTCACCGCAGCAGAGAGAAATCAGTCATCTCTTCAGTACGTGGGCCACATGTCCCTGCGAGTGCAAGGCTTCTTTAGAACGAGGGGGGGGGCAGCAAGAGGGAAAAGAGAGGGGGGTGGGCACGCAGGGCAGACAAACAATGCTCACTCCAAGGATCAAGAAAATGCCCCCCCTGGTAGCCACAAAGCTCCCAGCCTTTGGCTCATTTTCCATGCTGAGCTCCCGGGAGGTAAATGCCTAAATCTTTTCTGGTGTCAGAAGTCGGAAGAGGTCAACAGGCCGCCCCAAGTTCAGGGGTCAGGGCCACTTGGGTTCTAGGCTTGGAGAGTCATCCTGTATGAGCGGAAGCATTTTGAGAAGCTGGCTTCCCCTCCGGTGGCCTCAGACCGCTGATCTGAGACACCGGCGTTTGGATTTAGAACAGGTTCTATCACCAACATCCTGTGATCCAAGGAGCGGTAAGCAGCGGCTTTCTTGCTTACTTGGAACAATTTCCTTTGCTGGGTGTTGCTAACGCCCCCTCTGCCCTCCCCAGGAGACCACGCCATCTTAAGATTCTCCTTGCTCAGAGGTGTCGAGTGGCTGCTGCCTCCGCAGCGAGAAGTGGTCGCGAATTCAGTCCAGAACTGTGAGTTGGAGTTGGAATCCCACGGATATCCTAAGTCCACTACTCAGTGAGAGGGCGACCCTAAGGCCAGCTTGGCCAATCTCCTTATTGACCAGGAGGAGACTGAAGTCCCCAAAATATGAAGTGACTTGCTCGGGATCACACGACTTGTGAGCGGCAGGCATGGGGTGACACACAGGTCTCCTGACTGTCCTCCAGGGCCCTGGGCCCAGCTCTCATTAGAATAATCATATCTTCTTGAGTCTTTTACAGCCCCCTGCAGGTGGGTAGCTTAAGCCCCTCGATATTTATGCTGGCTCCTCTGCCCGTCTCCAGGCGTGGTGTGTCACCTTTGTAAGGGACAATCAATGTCATGCCGGTTATCACTGTCCCCTCCCACGGAGAGCACCTGCGGCTTCCATGGGACCTCCACCCCCTACCCCCTGCTTCCTGGGGGCTCCCGCTGCTGGTCCTGCCATCCCTGGAATGAACACTCTGGTCCCAGCCTCCCACCTTGGGCCATGTCATAGCCCGTTCCTCCCCATCCTCAGCCGCTGGGAGCCAGTCCCACACCCAAACAGGGAATCTGCGTTGGTTTCCGCACGGTCTCTCCCAGCAAACCTTTCCTTTCTGTCCGTTGTCAGCTTCCGTGTCCATGCCAGAGCTGCTGCTGCTCCGAAATGCCAGCTTGCTTGGCCTCCCCCTTTGCATATGGCCCCTCGATGCTTAAGTGAGAGGCCATTATGGCTCACTGCCCATGACCCACAGGGTCCCAACAGCCCTACAGTCTGGTGTTTCTAGTGCTCATCTGGCCTCATCTCCTTATTCTGCTTCCCTGGGTCAGAGGGTTGGCATCAGGACCTCTACATCGCGATGAAATATCTCCTAGGACAAAACTCCATTGCAGCATCCAGCCCAGGCCCCCTGACTGTCCCTGAGCATTGCTGCTTCTCCCTCCCTTTCCCAGTTTCTCCTCCGGCGGCTGTCCTGGCCGGCCCATGCTGGCGGCCCCAGCAGGGCCTGTGCTCTGGGATCTGATGCAGCGTTTCTCTGTGTTTGCCTTCAGCTTCATCGAGCAACCTGACCCAGCCAGGATACACCCTCTCCTCCATGCAGCTGTTTCCTGCCCCAGGGTAGGCGCCTGCTGGAAGACCCTTCTTCAGTGCTGAGCATCTTTGTCCAAGTACACAATGGGAGATGGGGGAGAGACTTCCCAGAGTCCTAGCTCCACCTCCTGACACTCCTTGGCACATGGAACCCAGAAGATGAGCTCGCTGCTTCCAGAGAGGCCTGTGGGCGTCCTCACCCCCCTCCCTTAGGACAGGCATTTTAGGAAGCCGAAGCCCTGGACCCACCTTCCGGTAGAACACTCCTGCTGGGGGACGAGAGCCCAGACAGCCTTTTCTTGTCGGCTCCCTGACCGTCGAGCACTGCAGGGCAGGGTCCGTCCGAAGGGAAGGAACGAGGAGGCTGTTCTGCTGGGCAGGATGTTGGCCACGAGAACAGGAAGGACTGGGGCCTGTCAAACTCAGATTCATCCTCGCTTCTGAAAAAGCAGCAAAGTGGGGCTGACGCTAAGATAAGGCTCTGGGAGAATCCTCAGGGGCCAAAGAGCTGCTCGAAGGTCAAGGTGACAGACAGCAGGCTCTGAGCGGTGGGCGCTGTTTCCCACGCTCTCGGATCTGCTGCAAGTGCAGCAGGGGCACGGGGCCTCCCAGTAACAAGGGGCCTGGGGACAAGCCAGGTACTTTGGAGCTCTGAGCTCAGACAGGCATTGCAGAGCTTCAGAGGTTACAGGCCCTTCGGGGGGGCAGGGGGAGAATAAGAATGGGAGCCCCTCCCCCCGCAAGAGAAAGGGTGTTGGTTTAGGCTGTTGTCACCCCTAAAGGGTGATAGTGACACACTAGCAGAGAAGACAACACTTTATCGCCTTTGTGATACGCAGCCATTCTTCTCTCTTCCTTCAGGCAAAAATTGTCCACCACCAAAAAGGAGAAGAAATAACCTAGTCAGGCCCCCAACAGAGGCGCATCATCTCTCAGAAGCCTCCGGACACTGACAGAACCGTTTCCGGTCGGAAATGAAATGTCCCAGCACCGTCGGCCCTGGAAAGACCAAGGGGTGGCAGCAGCGGGTAAGATGTGGGCAGAGTGGGAGCGGACCCTGGGGGGCCTGACAGAGATGGTCCTTCCACAGTGGACATGTAACAGAGCACCCTACTCCCGCGGCAGGGCACCCGGTTTTAGGTTCACTGTGCCGCCGCCTGGCCTTGAGAACCCCCGACTCCAGGCTGTGGAAGAACCTGAGACGAGTGTAGGAGACGGCATTGAACACCCTAGGACGCAAGATGCCGGTTTTCTGTTTTGTTCTTTTTTATTGAGTTTTTAGAGAGAGAAGAAGGGAGATGGAGAGAGAGAGAGAACCATCGATGAGAGAGTATCGATTGGCCGCCTCCTGCATGCCCCCCACTGGGGATCGGGCCCACAACCTGGGCATGTGCCCTGAGCAGGAATCGAACCGGTGACCTCTTGGTGCCTAGGTCAACGCTCAACCACTGAGCCACACCGGCCAGGCCAGATGGGGTTTTTTATTTTTATTTTTATTTTTTTTATTTTTTTTTATCTTCACCCGAGGACATTTTTTGATATTTTGTTCAGATAGAGTGGGAGGGAGGGAGGGAGAGAGAGAGAGAGAGAGAGAGAGAGAGAAAAACATCGACGTGAAAGGGACACATCGAGTGGCTGCCACCCACATGACCCAATCAGGGCCAGGGACAAACTGCAACCGAGGTACATGCCCTTAGCGGGAACTGAACCCGGGTCTCTCTGTACCGCAGGCCGACGCTCTAACCGCTGAGCCAAACCGGCCAGGGCCAGATAGGGTTTTTTAATGCTAGGATCTCCCGTTTGGACAATGACTCCCATCCATTGTCTCGGCAAACCCTCAGAACCCTGTAATTTTGCCAGACATCATTAATTTTTGAACAGCTGAAGAAACGGACACACACAGGAGGTAAGTGACTTTCCCACGACCACTAGGCAGTCCGGGCAGAGTCTGGACTAAAACAGCCCCTGCTGCTTCTCATCCGCAGATGGCGACTTCTCATGCCCAAAAGGGATCGTCCTTCCCGGGAGTTCTCTTCATTTGCCAGTTAACAGATACAGAGACGCTGGGAAATTTTGACCTAAAGGCCTAACTTATGCTCATCATTTAGAGTGACTAGGCCCATTTTCTGTCCTTTGAAGAAAATCCGAGTAAAACGGTAGACTGTCCACACGAGCTCGCCACCTGAGCTCCCTGAGGAGAGGTTGCCGTGGTGACTCCATGGGCTGCCGGACAGGGCCAGGACGTCTGTTGGAGAATCTTCCAGACTTCCAGCCAGCATTTCCTGCTATGCTGATGTCCTTTCGTTCCTAGATTTTCCCAAAGATGACAAATGCTGTGACGTCAGGGCCGGGCTCAGGAAGAGAGGCTGCGAGAGTGTGTAGGAGGGGCTGTGACGGTGACAGGTCGGGAAGGCCACGGCAGCATGACTGGAGGCCTCACGACACTCAGCAGGACCACCCTGAATAGAAACAAGTCCTCTTCTTTGAGTCTGGCTGATTGCTTCCTTTGTTTTATATCATCTCACCTAAGCGATCCCGGGTCTAGCATATTCCAACACCAGATTTAGACTAGCACCACAGACCCAGTCACCTATAAAATACAGACGAAATATAAGTGAGAAAAACAACCCATGAGAGCGAACGGAGTGGTAGAGACTGGTGAACTGCAGAACACATCTCAGAGGGGACAGCGACGGTTAGCTCCAGCCAGCCAGCAAAACCAGAGTTGCCAGAGCCCCTTACTTGGAGAGAAAAGAGAGAGACAGAGAGGAAGGGAGGGAGGGAGTGAGGGAGGGAGGAAAAGAAAGGAGGAAGAAAGAGAGAGAAAGGGAAAAGAAAAGAAAGGAAGGAAGGAGGAAAGGCTGAAGGGAGAGAAGGAAAAGAGAAAAAGAAAGAAGAATGAGAAATTTAAAAATTTTGGAATACTATGCAGGTCAAACAAAAACTTATGATCTTTACTTTAAGCTTTTTCTTTCCCCTTGAAATTATATTTAGGTCCGGGTTCTACCTTAGACAGAAAATACGGAAGGGGAAGCAGAAAACCCCAACAATAGACCCATAGAGGCCAGAGGCATCTAAAGAATAGGCCGCGCACCCTGGCCGGTTTGGCTCAGCGGTTAGAGCGTCGGCCTGCGGTCTGGAGAGACCCGGGTTCGGTTCCCGCTAAGGGCACGTACCTCGGTTGCAGTTTGTCCCCGGCCCTGGTTGGTCGTGCAGGTGGCAGCCACTTGATGTGTCCCTTTCACATCGATGTTTTCCTCTCTCTCTCTCTTCCTCTCTCTCCCTCCCACTCTATCTGTACAAAAAATGGAAAAATGTCCTCGGGTGAGGATAAAAAAATAAAGAAAGAAAGAAAGAATAGGCCGTGGGAGGAGGGGAGGCAGCTGGCCTACTCTGGGCCCTGCAGTAGTTTTCTGTTGCTGCCATGAACAATGACCAGAATCTCAGTGGCTGAAGCAACACAGAAGGACTGTCTGATAGCTCTGCAGGTCAGCAGCCTGACTTGGGGTGCGTGGGGCTAACGTCAAGATGTGGGAGGACTGCGTTCTTCGGGGGGCTCTGGGGATGGGTCCATTTCCTTTCTTGTTCAGGCTGTTGGCAGAATTCAGTCTTCACAGTTATAGCGCTGAGGTCGGGTTTCCTTACTGCCCAACAGCCTTTCTTTGCCTGATTGAAAAAGCCTCAACTCCTTCGTGGCATCTACAAGACCCCTGACAATTTGACCCCAGTCTAGGTTTCCGGGTTCATCTTACCTCTCGCACGCATGCGTTCCATCCTCCACCAGCACCCTCCACGGAGGGGGTCTAAAATGCCCCGCCCTTCTTCTCCACCTGGTGGACGGAGACATCACAGCCCGACCCCTCCTGGTTGTCTCCGCTCTCCTCTCGTCTCTGCAATGTATTTTCCCCTCTTTGGTGACACCTGGTTGTGTATGTATGTCACCTACTAGACTAGATACCTTCGTACCTCCAACCCTGACCACAGTGCCATGCGGAAGAGAGGGGCCCCGTAAATACGCAGCGAAGGCTCGGGTAAACAAACGGCTAGGCGCTGGGGATGTGACAAAAACAGAATTTGTCGTCTGTCTGCACTGACCTTACCGTCAGTTACGCCGACTTCACTCACTAGTGCGCTTTGCCAGAAAACCAAATCGGCAATTAACTGTAGTTGCAACTAGCACAATAAAGAAGAAATATCACATTGTCCTTATGAAATTTCTTTCGTTCCAGTCATTCTCGATGCTTGAAGAACTTTCTGGTCCCTTAGGAAGCTCACAGGGCCCGTTCAGATTAAAGAGGGACAGAAAGAGGCAGAGGAAAACGAAACGAGAGACTCAGCGAGACCCGCCTTCCGCCTTCAGGGACCTTTTCCATTCCGTGTGTCAGGGAGTGACATGAAATCTCCCCTCTTTCTGCAGAAGGATGGAAAGACGCCTGTCCCTCATGCTGGGTGCCTGCAACTGATCCACGTGTCACCACAGAGAAGGGGGCGGCTCATGCGCGGCACCTCGGGGTGCCCATCCTCACCCCCACACCTCAACCAGGGCTGCAGATTTAACCAGAATAAAGAATGTCCACATTCCCAGTCTATGGGCCTCCTGACCTCTTCTTGAACCTAAGGTCACAAGGAAAAATATGTTGCTCCCAAGAGGGGTTCAATGGTCATTTTCAATTTAAGAGATTACTTCCCATCCTGGGTCAAGACCAAAGGGCGAGTTGGTCTCATTCAGAGACCCTGACACAAGGGGCCCTCCCCTGACCGACAGAGCCTCGGCCCGGCGGCCCTGCGGCCCTTCCTCCAGAGCCAAGTTTTCCAGGAGGTGCAGGGTGATGTTAAGTGCCGTCTTCACTTCTCAATAACTCTGTGATCACCAGCAAATTACTTAACCTCTGAGTCCAAACACCGTTGGGTGTGAAATGGGAATGACAATCTCTACCCCATAGGGTTGTTTGGAGACTAAAGAGATGACATAGGCCAAGTGCGTGGCACGGGACCAGGCACAGAACTGGGGGCAGGCACGTTAGTAGCTGCCCTTCTTTCTACCCTTTCCTTAAACTTCCCAGAGCATGCAGGAAGGGCTAGACCAGCAGGGGAGCAGTTCAACAGTTAATGCCCGAGGAAATTCTGAATGCACCTCCTCCCAGATACATGATTCCCGGGAGGTTGAGAGGCCAGGAGGTCCACAACTCTATTTAATTCCTGATGGATCTGTAGCCATGCGGAGGAGTTCTATAATTATGACCAATAGGAGGTACAGATATTTCCTCCTGCGCCTTTACATGCACTCCCTGACCCCTAACAGGTGCTTTCAAATATCTGTGATCCCTGCTGAGTACTTACTAGGTGACAGGAGAGGGGAACTTTAAGACTTGTTTCACAGGTGAGCTAATGAAGGTGTAGAGAGGTCCGGTCTCCTCTTGCTTCTTGCTTGCATGGTTTCTGAGAAGTCGCATGTAATTCTTATCTGTGCTCCTCTACAGACGAGCCTTTATTCCTCTGGCTTCTTTCAAGATTTGTCTTTAACTTGGATATGCTGTAGTTTCAGTAGGATGCGGCAGTTCTTCTTCTTGGTGTTCTCTACGCTTCCTGGATCTGTAGTTTGGTGTCTCGCATTAAGTGGGGGACATTCTCAGTCATTATTGCTGATAACATTTCTTTTTGTACCTTTCTGCTCTTTCTGGTTTTCTCAATAATTAATAACTTTCCAAAACAGAAATCATCAGGCATAGGTGGGTTAGCTGTTGAACTCTACACAATATGCCAGTTCTCTGCAATCTCTCTCAGATAAAAGCAGAGGGAATCCTTCCTACCTCATTCTATGAGGCCAGCACTACCCTAACACCAAACCCAGACAAGGACGTTGTAAGAAAAGAAAACACACTTCTTAAGTGTTTGATAGAATTCACCAGTGAACCCATCGGGGCCTGAGGATTTCTGTTTTGGAAGGTTATTAATTATCTATTGAATTTTTTATAGCACATATAGATCTATTTAGATTGTCTATTTTCTCTTGTGTGAATATTGAAAAAGTGTGTCTTTCGAGGAATTGGTCCATTTTATCCAGGTTATCAAATTTGTGGCATAGAGTTGTCCATAGTGTTCCTTCATTGTCCTTTTAATGCCCATGGGATCTGTCTTGATGTCCCCTCTTTCATTTCTGGTATTAATAATTTGTGTTCTCTCTCCAAGCCTGAGATAGAATATGGGAATTTTAAAGCTTATTATCATAATAGGAGTATGGCTATTTTTTATTTCTGATACTCCCATACTGTTATTTATCAAATAATATAAATTAGATTTTTTAAACAAGACACTACTATTAATCTTCTTATAATAAATGTTATTTATTACTCTTATTCAAAAATTGATTTATGTCTTAAAGTTCAAGTTTATTTTGAATCTGGTTATTTCTGACTCACCTCATTTATTTAAATAAAACAAACATCCTCCAAGTCTTGTTTTGCTTTTGATTTACTTCTCATCCAATAATATACAAGAACTTTAGCTGAAATGTTGAAAGACCCTGGCCTTGCCACCACTGGGTAGCATTGGGCCAATCAACAAACGTTTCTGAATCCGTGTTGCATTTGTGAATGGGCGTTGCACACCTGACTTGGGGAAAGGGGCAGGATGGGTGCTATTTTCTTACCTGGGGTTAACAGAACTTCACCATGGAGGACCACGATTTACTTCCTCACCTTGTGTCACCAAAGTGGAGAAGCAAATTGAGGACACGGTTTCGGGACAGGGGCAAATGAGCTGCCCTCTGGGGGTTCATGCACCATGTATGCATAAAAGACACACGCCAGTCAGCCAAGAAGTCTGGGCTGTAATTCCAGGGGTGGGGAAGGAAACTGCTTTCCAGGCCACTGGGGCCTCCTGGATGCTGAATCAGCTATGGGGGCTGAGGGGGTGCATGGGTCAGGTGACTTCCAGCCCTGAGCAGGCGTGGGCAGGCGGCAGTGCTGAGGGAATATAGATCCCACGTGCAGGGGCTGCTTTACGTGGGCAGGATGCCGAGGCCACGCACCCCTGCAGAACTCTCTCTCTCACAAACCAACTGAAGCCTCCTCCTAAATACCTTTGTAATTCTCAGTGGGGTCAGTTCTTTGAAGTTAATTTAAAAAGATCTAGACAAGAATTAAAGGAGGGAGCCAGCCTGACGGACTGATAGAAATGACTGGCATACCCCTACTCATTACAAATCAGAAAGCTGAAGCTTCAGGTCAAAATGTAACCCGATCTTGCTATGCCTACAAAACCTTAAATCAAAGCCCTGAGTCTCCTTCTTCCAGCACTTAATTTCATCGGTGACACCCATTTGAGGCCACCTTCTCTTCAGGAAGTACTGGAGATGCTGTTTTTTCCAGCTCCTCCCATTACAAAGCTCCATTTTTTACCTCCACGTAAGGATGCGTGGGAAGAACGTCCGATTTACTGCCGGAAAATCTGTTCCAATCAAGACAGTGACACTTCCCAGCTGTGCATCAAAGTGAGTCTCTGTCACTGACCTGTGTTTCCTCATCTGAAATACGAGGATAAGCACACTGGCTTTCCAGGACTGTCTGAGGACGACGAGATAAAATATGCACGTTTAATCGATAAATTATACAGCACCCTAAAAACATAAGGCAATGTGATTGCTCGTACATGAAGATGGTTCATTCCTTTATTGAACATCACCTTGTGGCAGACACTCTGCTAGGCCGTCGTGATAGAAATAATTAAAGTATGTACACATATACAGGATGGGGCAAAAGTAGATTTACAGTCCTCTGTGTGGCAAATGACACAGTAACTAATCGACAGGGATACAAGAGTAAACTCGGTTTCACACACTCGCAGCTGTGAGCGCCTTTAGCTGCACCCTGGGTGCACCACTGGCCCCCAGGAGCTGAGACTCCAGCGGGGAGGACACACACTCCAGGTGGGCAGAGCTACTCTGATGCGGCTCAGGGTGCGAGCGAGTCAGAGAGCACTTGGACCGGGGTGTGGAAAGGGAGGGTCCTCAGAGGACTTCAAAGAGGTGACACTGGAGTTGGCTCACTACAGGTGCAAAAGCAGAAAACAAACCCAAGGCACTGTTTTGTGCAACGGCCCCACACTGCGCGGCCCTGGCCCCGAGCCAGGTTGAAAGTGCCCCGCCCTTGAAGCAGAGTTTCCAGCCTCGGTCGCACTGATATTTGAGGCTGTGAATTCTTTGTTGGGGGGGGCGAGCCAGCGCATCATAGAGTGTTTGGCAGTACAGTATCTCTGACCCGTCTACTCGGTGCCAGTAACACTGCTTTCCCCGTCTTGACAACCACAAACTTTTCCAGACACTACCAAATGGCCCCCGAGAGGCAAAATCGCCCCCAGTTTAGTGCTACTGCCTTAAGGTCACAGAAAACCAGTGCAGGTGGTTCTAGAAGGAATTAAATTCATAGAAAAATCAGTGCCTTGACTTATACTGTGCTCAATGAAGAATGAATGAATGAATGAATGAGTGAATGAGTGGATGAGCCACTTGGAGCCCCTTTGATAGATTCCTTTTAGGTTTCATCCAGATGATCCCTGGGCCCGTAATTAAGTTCTAAGATGTTTAAGTGAGAGGTAACAACACCACATCCATGTATTCAGTCCTCTGTACAACTTGTATGATCTGGGACAAGTAGTTCAAACTCTTTGAGTCTCAGTTCATCAGTTCTTAAATGGGGATATTAACCCATGTTGCAAGATCACTGCGATAATTACATGAGATAACTGATGTAGAGCACAGTGTTAGAGGGCTAGGCACTCCTTCGGTGCAACAGACAAGAGGAATCTCAGCAGGGTGCCCTTCCAGTTCCTGCTTCTAACCTTGACCCAAAAAAAGCACCAGGGTCATTTGAACATACACTTTATGTATATACTCCCTATATATGTAGGGAATGCCTAGCACACTACCAGGAACTGACATCATCCATCCAACTCGTCCCTCACAAATAACCAGGTTAGTTAAGAGGCGCCGCGAGTTGGGACTTGCCCAGGATCATACAGCTAAGAAAGACCTCACTGAACTCAGACTCAGAGCTGGCTAACCACTGTTGCCCCCATCACACCGAGACATGTGTGCTGTATGAGTTTTAGGAAAATGCTTTGCATAGTCTGTGTTCCGTAATTTCATATAGACGTAGATGATCAGATCGGGAAACTTCTTCTGAAAATACTGGGAAGGATCTTGAATTCTTAACTTCATCCTGAAATGAAATGTAAATATTTTGTCACGTGTGCCCCACATTCTTCCCCTTTTCCAGCATATGGCCCGGAGATCACTGTGCTCCCTCGATTTCTAGAGCAGAGTGAATGAGGACTTGGGAATCTGACAGAGGTAGAGTCACGTCCTCATCAACCGATTGTGCAAATTTTGGCAATGTTATGTTTGTGAGCCTCAGTTTTGTCATCCGTGAAATGGACACAATACAATACCACGATCCTTATCTACATTTCTGGAATCCAAAAGAGCCCTGGAAACGGAAAGGCTGTTTTTCTTTAATGAGTTTGCAGCTGATATTTTTGGCAACAAACACTGATTGAACTAACACGGGGCTACTCTCTAGACTTTTATAATGTTATATTCATTTTACCCAGCTGCCCAGTCCCCTGTGGTTCTTCACGCACGGGAGTCACCAGCCTTCTGTTCAGTGAGATTCAGCAAGAGTTAAAAAGGAAGACGGTCGCGTCCATCATTCATTAAAAGACCCTTGTAATGGCCCTTCTACCAGAGGAGAGGAGTTCCTTCTCTCTCATTAAAATTAATTTTGTTCTTCCCATCATATAGCGGATATAAATTTAGAACTGGATTTTTAAATCTTTCTCATTTCCAATATGCCTTACAGGAAGGAAAACAATACTTACCATTCATTCTTTTCTTCATCAATGTGTTCCCCCAAATGCCGGATGAACCTTAGCAGATCACCCACAGTGTCCTTATATTTTAAATGGGGTTTCATTTTATAAAACGTATTCATTTTATTCATAACCAGCATGTCAATCTAAACAAAACAAAAAATTACACAAAAATGTGTTAGCAATGCAGAATAAATCCTGGTGGAATACAATAAGGCGAAATACAAATTTGAATGTGTCCAAATTATTACTAATTATAAAGGCAATGCTAACTGTAGTTGTGTTTGGATGTGGGAATATCGGTAACTTTAAATTTGTCTGTTTTCCAAGTGAATTTTTTCCATAAGAGATTAAATCTATTAAAACAGGGTTTAGAGACTCTTTGGCCACCGCGCTAGGGCAGCTGTCATCATGCCGTACCGCACTTCATCCTGTGGCGCCCTTCTGAGTTCGCCCTTGATGACATTTCCTCTGGCTGAAACCAGGAGTGGCATCCATTGCCAAAGCGACTGTGGTTGGTTTTCTTTCTAATTATATTTCCAAAGGGGTTCCATGTTTCTCCTTGCCTCTAGGTGTCCCCAGGGCAACTTCTGTCACAGTAATGCCCCCCCTTTTGAGCGGGCACCCTTGTAGATGGCTTCATATTTAGAAAGAGTTTGGAGTAAGGGGACAGGATGCAACAACCACAAAGCCATGGGTCCCTGAGGAAGCGTGACTGGTACCTGGACCACGGCTGGAGAGGACCTGCTGAGGCTGCCCACGTGTATGTGTGGAGAGCACGCGTGGGAAATGCTGAGCAAGGGTGTGTAGCAGTGTGGGGCAGCCCACCGAAGGAAGGCAGGAATATATCCTGGAAAGCTTGGCTCTGGACCTGACTTGCCAAGAACTGATTGTATGACCCTGAAAATGGTCAAGCCACTAAAATCAGCAGGAAAAAAAAAAAAGTCTAAAATGGAAATTAAATGATAAGGCCGAAACTTAATCAAAATTCAATATAAGTCAATGCAGTTTAGGGGAAACAACCAGTGAATTGGGGAACAAAACGATTAGGTTCTCTTCCCAGCTCTGCCAATCTGCAGCTTTCCAGGCCCAGGTATTTCGGGTTCCACTTCTGGGCCTCAATTTCCTCCGCAATAACATGGCTGGGGGCACCCGATGGCATCACAGTGTTGTTCGGTGAGTGGCTTTAGCGTGTGGGCTCTGCAGCCAGACTGCCCAGCTTCAAATCCTGCTTGCACCCCTCACTGGCGCTGAGCCTTTAGAAAAAGTGTCTGTGCCTCAGTCTGCCCACCTGCAAAATGAAGATCTTTGCCTCGGAGGTTGTTGTAAGGATGCACGGTGGTAACTCACATAAAGTCCTTGGAGCTATAGCTGCCAAGTAGTCAGAGCTGCGTAATCACTGGTGTTACTATCATCTGGTCTGGTTTCTCATTTCTGTTTCCACAAGTTTAAGTTTCAGCAGGAGTTTGGCATTTGGCAAAGAGTCATGGCACACCTACTCCGTGCCAGGAAAAGAGCAACAGACAACGTATGGCCTCTGCCCTCACGGAATTACAGGGGAGCAGGACAGATGACCATTCAGCTGGCGATTATGAGTATGATGTGTCGTCTAGAGTCAAGTGAGGGAAGGAAAGCAAAATGAGACCAAGAAACAAAGAGGGATGGGAGGAGCAGAGTCCTAGATCGGCCTGAGACAGGGAAGCTGTTGGTCTCAGTCAAAGACCTCAGGATTATGGATTCTCCCATGGTGCTTTGCACTTGTCTCTGGGTGCCCAGCACATATATAGACCATCACTTCTGTGGGTCTCTCGGCCCCACATGGACCATACCGCACCCTGCCTTGTATACCCATGACCTCACATGAGCCTAGCACATACCTGGTACTTGTTAGGTGTGTGCTAATTAATAATAATGAAAGTTCTGATAGTACTGACTAGATCAAGATGGTGATTCATTTTGATGTTCCACTATATTTAGTTCCGGTTAGGTGGACCTTTTCTGGAAGAGGAGGGATTTCAAAAACCGTCTCCTCTTCATAGGCTGTTTCCTTGGGCAGAATGTAGGTGTGTTACATGATCTGCGGAGCTGGGCCGTTCACAGGCAGCAGAGGCCCTGGACTAAAAGGCCTCATGGTGGAGCACCTCTGGGTGAAGCCCCATCTAGTCAGCTGCTCTTGTTACCATGGCAATAAGATCATTAGCCAAGCCCTTCTCAGAGAACAAGTCTTGAGGGAAAGAGCCACAGAGAAGGAAAAGGCTCATGGGCTGGGACAAGACCACCCTACAGTGGAGCCTAGATGGGAGTCAGTCAGGAGGCTTGGCCTCTAAACGGGGAGCAGAGACCCAGTGGGGATGAGGGGACAAAGGGACGAGGGTGGTGAAGGGGGAGAAGGAAAATCCCCTCTTTCACTTCTTGGTTGGGCCAGGCCAATAGTATATAAAAAAGTTAGAAAATCTATCATAAAATATTACACAGCTTCTTATTCTTAGAACTCCCAGACTGTAGGAATTGTCCATACCTGACAGATCCACTGGTCAAAACTTCTAGAAGGTTCTGTCGGTCCAGCTTGCAATAGTTGAAGGATACTGCTTTGTGGTTTTCGCGCTTTGATGTCAGATTCATTTCCCACATTCCTAAGGGTCCTATAGCGGCTGAGGATGACAGAATGATCACGGTCATTCCCTCTTTCCCACTCTTTCCAGGAAGACAAAACTGTTAGCTTTACTACTTTTATTAAAAAACAAAATCTAGCCCTGGCCGGTGTGGCTCAGCAGTTGGAGCGTCGGCCTGCGGTCCGGAGAGACCCGGGTTCGGTTCCCGCTAAGGGCACGTACCTCGGTTGCAGTTTGTCCCCGGCCCTGGTTGGTCGTGCAGGTGGCAGCCACTCGATGTGTCCCTTTCACATCGATGTTTCTCTCTCTCTCCCTCCTGCTCTATCTGAACAAAAAATGGAAAAATGTCCTCGGATGAGGATTAAAAAACAAAAAATCTATGTCTTTAAAAATTCTGCATGATGAGAGAGACAGGTCTCTCTCTCTCTCTCTCTCTCTCTCTCTCTCTCTCTCTCTCTCCTTCCCTCCCCTCCTCCCTATTCTTCAGAAGAGAGAACCAGAAGCAAGAAAGCTTAAGTCACCACCCAAGGACACGTAGCCAGGAAACGCCCAGAGGACAGCTGCGTCTGCTGACTCTCAGCCTGACTCCTGCCCACATCACCTCACTGTGATGGTTAATTGTGCATGTTACCTAATCTCAGGGTGCCCAGATTAAACATCATTCTGGCTGTGTCTGTGGGGGTGTTTCCAGATGAGACTGGCATTTAAATCAGTGGACTCAGTAACGCAGATGGTCCCCTCCAGTGCTATGTATCTATTTCCTATTGGTTCTGTTTCTCTAGAGAACCCTGAACTAATACACTCACTGTCTCCATTCTGGGCGCCTGTGATTCACACTTAAGTTTTACTTACCTCTCCCAACTCCAAAAGAAAGGATGATCCAGCAGGTCACTTAGATGGTTCTTTACATTTTCTCCAGGGCAGAACAGGTGCTGAATGAGGTTCTGAATTTCTTCATTTGGAGAAAGTTGAATCACCTCTTCATTACTTTGCATCTTCAATGTCTCAAAAGGGATGTCTCCCCTCTTTACCACATATAGGACCAGGCGTCCAAGGGCCTGCACAACAGCCGCCAACCAAGCCAAAGGTGTTTATGAACGATCACTCTATTTGGGTAACTTTGTGGAGTGTGGGGCAGGCTAGGGGGAAATGGAAAATGGGAGGGATCTCCAGGGGTCCACAGGCTGGTTAGGGAGAGAAGACACGGGGGTTTGTGCATAGAGAACTCCACGAGGCAGTATGTGGTCCTCGAGTTCAGGTTTATAAGGAGCAAAATATAATGCTGGGCCAGAGTTGTCAGGCCACAGTGCCTAGAGGAAGAGGGATTTGAGCTAGACCTCAAAGTATGGATAGGAGTTAGATAAACAGTGGAAAGAGAGAAGGTTTTAAACCAGGGGAGTCCAGAGCTGGGAACTGGGACTCGGGGTTGGGGCTATGTCAGGCAGTAGATAAAGGAGCCAGGCCAGGGCCAACAGGGTACAGTGATGGCACCTGGGTCGGACCACGGCAGGGAGGAGAGGCCAAGGAGGAGGCCCGCACAGGAATTCCTGCATCAGGAAAGACACCAGTTGGGAAGGAGCTGAAATCTGAAGTCACTGAGCCACCAAAGCCAGACCCAGGGATGGAGAGCTATTGTCCATTGTGCTGAAAGTCCGACACCCTGGAGAGCTCTCCAGGACAGACCTGCCCTGACCGCATTGGAATCACTGGGGAGCTTTGGACCGCAGAGCCAGGCTCTGTGTCTTCTCCGGAGAACCAGCTATTTCAGGGTCTTCACCTTTTCAGCCAACCTTAGCCTCTTTGAGCTGGAGACCCCTCCCAGGTGGTTCAGAGGGCCTTAGTATCTGGTCCTCTTTGGAGTCTGGATGGAGTAGGAGGAGAAATCTTGTTTACTTTGTCCTTAGGCAGAAAATGCCTCTTGCCGGAGATACCTCTAAGAGGTAATTTGAGAAAAGGTGTGGATAAGAGGTCTTTTTTTTCTTACAGCTGCGTAGTACTCCATTGTGTACATGTACCACAGCTTTTGATCCATTCGTCTACTGATGGACACTTGGGCTGTTTTCAGATTTTAGCTATTGTAAATAGTGCTGCTACAAAAATGGGGGTACATGTATTCTTTCTGGTTGGTGTTTCAGGCTTCTTAGGATATATTCCTAGAAGTGGGATCACTGGGTCAAATGGAAGTTCAATTTTTAGTTTTTTGAGGTAACACCATATTGTTTTCCATAGTGGCTGCACCAGTCTGCATTCCCACCAGCAGTGGACTAACGTCCCCTTTTCTCCACACCCTCGCCAACACTTGTTGTTTGATGATTTATTGATGGCGGCCATTCTGACAGGTGTGAGGTGAAAAAAAAAAAAGACCTCTTATCCTTTGAGACTACATGGAGGGACCTGGAAAGTATCACCCTAAGTGAAACAAGCCAAACAGAGAAAGACAAGTTTCATATGATCTCACTTATTTGTGGAATACAATGAACATAACAGTCTGAGGAAGGGGGTAGTCCCAGAGACGCGGAAGTGGGGTACAGACTGACAATCCCCTAAATAGGGGTGTGGTGGGGAAGAGATAAACCTCAGAACTTATATGCATGTATGCATGAACAGTGCACATGGACAACAAACTGGGGAAAGGGCAGGGAGGGAGGGGGAGGGGGGAATCAGTGGGGGGAAAAGGAGAAACATCTGTAACAAAAATTAATTAATAAAAAATAAATAAATAAAAAAGAAAAGGTGTGGAGTGCTCAATTTATTTACTTATGTAAATGGAGAAAGAAAGAGATCCAAAGAGACAGAAAGAAGCCACAGTGACAAGCAAGCCACACCGACCCAGGGAAATGTCATCGTCTGCAAGGAGCTGACAGCCGTGAGCGCTGGGGAAATGCCTCACAAGTTCTTTCTTTCCCATTGGTTCCAATCCAGTCAGGGCAGACAGGGGTGTTGGGCTTTCAACACAGCGGACTATTTTCTCCACCCCTGGTTCAAATGGGGAAGCCCTCTAACTGGCCACAGGATACACGGTAACGAACGAATAAGGAAGCAGAAAGATGAAAAGTAAATGGACTACAGAAATTACCTCTAGATCGCTGGTGATTTGCCCCGGCTCTCCGGCCCACTTGATGCTGTTATCAAAATCTGCCAATCGAACAGCATTCTTGGAATCTAAGGAACAGTTTGTAAAGAGAGGTCAACATATACATTTGGGAAGAGCACAAATATTCAGTTCATTGCAGCTATTTGATTCTTTCTCTTCAGCTCTTTCTTTTTGCATCCAGGTGGCTAATGAGAAAAGTCTTAATGCCGGTCCGAATGTGGTTTCTAGGTAGGTCGTTTGTTTTCTCTCAATAGCTTTTGAGTTTTCCCCTTCTTCCCTTGATATTTTGAAATTCCTTTAAGATGTGCCTCAACGGGGTGATTCTATTTGTTTTGGGGGTTTTTCCTTGCTTATCCTCGGCACTTGGTGAGTCTTTTCCTTAGAACTATATCTATCTTTAGTTTTGGGCCATTCTTAGCCATTTTTTTTCAAGTGTTATTTCCACCTCATTCTCTGTCCTCTTTCTTTTAAAATGCCTATTAGAACTTCTGGATCTAAATCATGACTCTAATTTTTTTTTTTTAAATGCTTTCCATCCCTTTATTATTTTCTGTTACCTTCTAGGAGAATTTCTCAGGCAAATCTAGCTTACTAATTTAGTCTTCAATCCAGTCTTGAGTTTCAAAAATATAAAAAATTTTATTTTTGATTTCTAAGGCCTCTTTTTGGCTCCTTTCACAAGGCTTATCCCTGCTTCTTAGATGAAATCACCTATCTTTGTTCTATGAGTTTATTGAGTGTACTTACTTTAAGTTGTGTGACGATTACTTGTTGTGGCAGACTAAACAAATATCCGTGTCCTATCCTGGGATCCATGACTGTGACTATATAGCAGAAAAGGGGGAGCTTTTGCAGATGTGATTAAGTTGGGAATCTCGAGATGGAAGAGATTATTTTGGGTTATCAGGATGAGTCCCGAATGTAGTCACAAAAACCCTTACACAGGGGAAGCAGAAGGGGATCTGACAACAGAAGACACGATCATGTGACTACAGAGGCCGAGATCAGTGAAGTCTCTTCAGGACACAGAATGCTAACAGCTTCCAGAAGCTGGATGAGAAAAGGGACAGAGGCTCCCTATAGCCGCCAGAGGGCTCTGCTGAGCCCTCCACTGATCTGGGGCCAGGAGAACTGCTTCCAATCTCCTGGCCCCCAGAACTGTGGGAGAAGAACGTGGTTGTCTTCAGCCACCCAGCTTGTGATCATTTGGTTCAGCAGCCCTAGGAAACCAACACGCTTGGTTAGTTATGTCTCTTGGGGTGTAAATTCTTCTGTTTCATGCATCTCTTTATGCTCTTGGCACTCGAATATCTTAAGTGATTTCTGACCCTAAGCCCTACTCTGCAGTTGAGAATCCCTGATATCCTGTGAGCTGCTTCTGTTAATGCCACCCAACAGAGGGGAGAGACAGAGGCAGTTGTCAGAGCATCTGCTTTGCATTTTATTCAGTAAAACTCAGGACATGCCACTCAGTAGGGTGCTTTGGCAGAAATCTGTGGACTGAATTGTTCTTTGTTTCTCTTGTGGTCATGCCCCACCCAGTGCCTCCAGCAGTACCCCTGCCTGCAGCCAGACATGCCTGTCACAGATGCTTGGGCCCAGGGGAAGAGGGAATGCACAGGTTTCGATCTTCCCAGTTTCCACTGACACATCAGTCTGTCTGCTGGCTGGACCTTTGGCCTCTCCTGCTTCTGGTTTCCTCACTCTCGAGTGGTGCTGTTTGCCCCGTTCCCACACGGATGAGTAATACTCAGCAGTGGCTTCCTGCATTTGTCCCGGGCTCCTGTGAGCTTCAATCCCATCTTGTGCATGTTTCATCTCTCTACGATTTGTCAACATTTTGTTCAGCAAAATTTTTTTTTTCATCTCAACTATGAATTCATTTAAATATCTTTTCCTATCATTTTGGGGATTTAACACAGGGAATAGTGTGTGGTATATGTTAGGTTCACTTTGAGGCAGAAATACAATCAATTCTTTATTGTTCAAGCTTGAGAATGGAAGAGGTGGTCTAAAAATTCCAAAGAAGAAGTAATCACAAGTCATCTTCCTTTAGGACATGATACATGATCCTTTTCGCATTGAGATCAGAAGTTAGAACTGGAAAGGACCTCACCCTTGGCTGACTCTAACAAGTGACTCACTTGTCAGACTGCCCTTGTTTGTCTCCCAGGCAACATTGCTTCAACCCAGGAGTGTCACTAGAACCCCTCTTCAAACTAAAAGCCAAATCCGAGTAATATTTCTCTATATACATAATTCTCTCCTCCAGGACCTTAACTACTACTCTTGCTTCTTCGTATGCGAACCCTCCTTTTGCCCTGTTCCCTTACACCCAGTTTAAATCTCAATCCGCACCTATCTGAGGTTAGGTATCTAAGACAAGTAGCTGACCTTTGTTCACAGCTGCAATGTACAGGTGCCTTCTGTATCTAACACATTGCACTTAGACCTCCTAAAAACCACACGCAGGAGACAGTATTAGGCTTGAATGAGGAGGCCATGGCTCACATAAGTGACTTATCTGAGGTTAAGCTACAAACTAGCAGGACTAGGCTACAAGCCTCCCTACAAGTGGCTAAAGCCAAGACACTTTCTATGGAACCCCATTGCCTCCTGGGACTTTACACTCAGCTCCGCTTGTTTCCTTTTTTTTTTTTTTAATTTTTTTTTTTATACATCCTCACTGGAAAATGTGTTTTTCTTGATTTTAGAGAGAGAGGAAGTGAGGGGGAGGGAGAGAGAGAAACATCAATGTGAAAAAGAAACATCATTCGGTTGCCTCCTGTACACGCCCTGACTGGGAATGAACCCACAACCCAGGTATGTGCCCTGACCGGGAATCGAACCTGCAAACTTTTGTTGTACGGGATGACACTCCAACCAACTGAGCCACCTGGCCAGGACTCTGTTTCCTTTAATGTCGTTTTCACTGATTTTGTTTCAGGTTTGAACCAGTAGATACTAACTGTTCTGCCTACACGGAGTCTGTTTCACCGTCTCACCTCTTGTCTTATTATCCCCAGTTTGGACCTCAGTTTTGCCAGGAAGTTTCACAATAACTGCCACCTTGTCTGAAGGAACACACTTTCAGTATTCTCCGACTTGAAGACTACTCTCGGAATCCACATTTCTTGACTCCACCCAAGTCATACCTTCAGACTTATGTTTGCCAACGTCAGTATGAGGGGAGCTGGCATTCTGTTCACAGCCGTGACCTCCATGAGGAGGCAGGGCTATGACTGGGAGCAGGAGAGGCTTTACTGTAATTACGACTTTGTTGCATTAACCCTCAAACGGAATACTCCGCCTGTACTCTAGTCCTTTCCTATCTGCAATTACAACGCTCCCCTTTTGTCATCCAAGACCCCGCAGTTTCTCAGAGATAACTGGAGACTCACCTATTAAGATGTTCTGTGGCTGCAGATCCTGGTGAGAGTAGCCACAGGACAGGTGTAGCTCGACAAGAGCCCTGAACACAGAGAGGAGGATGTTTCGGGCAAACACATCTTCCTCGTTGTCCACAGCCTCCCCTTTGTGCTTGGCCAAGTGCTCCTCCAGTGTCTGCTCACAGAGGGAGAGACACACGTACAGACAGCCCTTGTGGCTCTCACTCCCGTAGAAGGTCACCAAGTTACTGTTCGCTCGGATGCTCTGCAGACAGGAGACTTCCTTCTGTCCACGGCTGCTGTCTTCAGAGAAGCGCTTCACCGCCACCTCTTGTTCTTCATAGAACCCCAGGTAGACGCCTCCTTCCGAAGTGTCCGCAATTTTATATTCTTCGTCGATGAAGATCTTGAGTCTGCCGATCACAGGGCGGTATATGCGGCGGAGATGTCTCAGGGCCGCCCCCCAGTGTGAGCTCTGGGGCTCCCAGTCTTCAGCAGGAGCGGGGTCATCTCTGGCTCCCCGCTGGAGAAGAAACTTGGCAAGAGGATGGTTGTAATTGTGCCTCGCTAACCTCACGAGGTTCCCACAATCCGTGCTGGCTCCTTTGTCACACAGCAACTGGGCGATTTTTGTCTGGTTGCATTCCACAGCCCACCGCAGGGCAGTTTTGCCCTCCCTGTCTGTGTCATTAATCTCTATATCTTCTTGTTCCAGAAGCTTCTGCACCAAGTCCAAGTGCCCCTTTTCCACGGCCAGGATCAGGGGCGTCTTCCCTTTTTCTCCCCGCACGTTCACCTCGGCCCCGTGGTCCAACAGAAGGCAACTAATGGCCACCTCGTTGCTGGGCTCAAGGTTCACAAGAGCATGGATCAGAGCATTTCTGCCCATGTTGTCGCGGATGTTGACATCCGCCCCCATCTCCTCCAGAAGGATCCGCAGGACCTCTATCTGGCCATTCTCAGCAGCATCCATGAGAGCCGTGGCCCCCCCTTTCCTAAGCTGCTTCTGCTCCTCCAGCGGCTGCCGGCCCAGGTTGACCTGCGCGCCGCTGTCATGCAGGAATCGCAAGGCCCCCACCCGGCCGTACGCGGCGGCCTCCATGAAGGCCGTGAAGCCGTGGCGGTCGTGCTCATCGACACCTGCGCCCTCCGAGAGGAAAAGCTGCAGCAGCCTCACGTTGCCCACGATCCCCGCGATGATGAAGGGCGTGGCCCCGTTCCTCTTCCTCAGACCAGGGTCAGCACCATAGCGAAGCAGAAGGCTCACCATGTCCTCGCTGTCATTTTGCACCGCGTTATGCAAAGGGGACCAGCCCCCTGTCTCTTCCTGGAAATTGACATCAGCCCCTTCTTCCAGCAACTGCTGGACCAACTCCCTGTTTTCTTCTTTAACCGCTTTTATCAACAAGTGATTGGAGGGTGTGTGTCTGTCCTCGGGGTTGTTATGGCTCCTGGAGGCCATGGTGGTAAATACCGCTGGTTACAACTGTTTGCCTTTCTTTGAGAAGATGAAGGCTTATCCCCTTGGGACTTGATCAAAGCAATGGAGCTCTGGAAACTCCTGTCATGGTAAATAGAGATTATCTGGCTACAGATGGACAGGATGAGGAAGGACAATACCCTTGGAGGATTCTGACATTACACCTGAAGACAAAAGAGGTACTCTGTAATCTTATAAGGGTCAGAAAACACTTGAATTAGAGAAATTAATTTTATTAGCAACTTTTTCAAAATACATCTACTCATTATAGAACCTTGTATTACATGTTATGAATATATATAAATTCAAAACATACATAACATTATGACTATATATAAATTCAAAATATTACTCTATAATCCCACTGCCCAGGAACAGACATTGTTAATATTTTAGTACATTTCTATAGTTAAAAAAAAAAAATAGTTGGGATCATGCTATGTAAAGTAACTTTGTATCCTCCTCATATAATGCCATACTATAAATAACTTCCTGTGTTATTACAAAGTATTTTAAAACATTTTTAATGGCTGTGTAATATGCCATCATTCGGTTGTTTCATTTCTCTATTAACTGAGCAGTTTTTAAAAATAATTTAAAAATTTTTTTTTCTTTATTGATTTTAGAGAGAGGAAGGGAAAGGGAAAGACAGATAGAAACATCAATGAGAGAGAACATGGACTGGCCGCCTCCTGCGTGCCCCCCACTGGGGATCGGGCCCACAATCTGGGCATGTGCCCTGACCAGGAATCGAACTGACGAACTCTTGGTGCATGGGTTGACGTTCAACCACTGAGCCACACCGGCCGGACTAAATGAGCATTTTTAAACAATTGTAAATAATATTGCAGTAGATTTATTTTATTTTAGCTTGTTTTCCTATGCTAGACCTTACAATAGATTTCTTATGATAGATTTCAAAGAATTAAATGACTAGTCAAAGGAGATGATTCCTTTTAGGATTTTCAGCCTATATTAATAAAGTTCTTTCAATGTCATTTAAACACACTCTGACTAGAAGTAGATAGCCTCATAAGGAAAAAAAAAAAAAAAAGCAGAACCTTCATTTAATTAAACACACACACACAGAGCTTTGTCAGTTTGTGTCTCTTACACCACAAGAAGGTTGACACTCTCGGTGTGTTCCCTAGCTCTGTGCACGCCTTCTCTGTGCATTGTGTGGTCCTGTTCCACGGAGCTCAGAGTAGTAAGAAGAGCAGACTCGACCTCAACAAGATCTTAGTGTGAGCCCCTGGTTGTGTAACTGTAGCCTATTACATCCTACGTGTGTAACCTTAGCTTCCTGAGTCTCAATTTTCCGTTCCAGCAAATGGGGAAAGCAGTAAGCACGGTCAGCTGTACAAAGTGCATTAATGTAGGGGTGTGGCAAATATTAGGAATTCAAAAAATGGTAGAGCTGATTATGTCTCTTTATTTAAGAAAATGTTAATGAGTCCTACTCTCCCCACCCGTGTGCACAGACATAGTACACAAACAGAGAACCTGGGAGTGTCAATTTAGTCCAACTGCCCTCCATCGGATCTGAGCAATTTACATCCAATTTAGGCATCAGACTGCACAAAGCGTTACCTGTATATTAACTGCACATGCTACAACATTCACAAAACAGCCGTTTTTCTGCTATCTCACGCTGTCTCCAAGTCCCCGCCTGCTGAGGTCTAAATCAATGGGCACCACAAGCACAGTCCTCCAGCCATGAAACCGTTGAAGCAAACAGTTACATTACAGCTGACATGGGCCAGTCTGAGTGAAGGAGCAGACAAGGAAAGAAATCCCGAGTGAAAAATCAGAGTGCAGGTACCGAAAGCCCAGCCAAAGCAGCATCCGGGATCATCTTACTTTCAGTTTCCTTTTCCCCATATGCCTGGTAGGCAGAGCCAACTTGAATAAATACTGTGTGGATTTCGTCAGAACCCTGGCCTTCTCAGGGAGGCTCAGGAGCAAACGGGCCCGGAGGGGTCTGCCTCTGCTTCCCCTCCCCAGGTCTCACACCCTTCCACCTGCAGTCCCCACAGCCCAAGGAACCCTTCAAAGCAAAGTTCTCACCATTCTCCCACTTTCCCAGCTCTCCTTCTGCGCAGCTTACCTTCTAAACTCAGACATTTCTCTGTTATTTTTCATCAGCAACGAATCTTTAAATACCATTGCCAGCAGAGAAAATTCCCTTCTGGCCGTAGTCAGGGAGCCAGGGGGCGGAGCAAATCGAAAGAGAGGAGGAGGAAGAGCAAAGGGAGGGGAACGGGCACACCCACTGTCGCCGGCAAGTGTAGCCTGGGCAGGTAGGGCTTTTATTTATTTTTTAAAACATGTTTTGATTTTTTAGAGAGAGAGGAAGGGAAAGAGATAGAAATATCCATGTGAGAGAGATGCATAGATCGGCTGCCTCCTGCATGCCCCCCACTAGGGACGGAGCCTGCAACCTGGGCATGTGCCCCGACCAGGAACCGAACCCAGGCCTCTCAGTCTATGGGATGACGCTGAATCCATTGAGCCACACCAGCTGGGCCAGATAGAGATTTGATACCCTCCAGAGACACACCGGTGGGGAAACTTTTTTCTGCCAAGGGCCATTTTGATACTTATAACAACATTCGAGGGCCACACAAAATTATCAATTTATGGCTCAGTGGATTGAGCGTCGTCCCATGAACTGGGAGGTCCCGGGTTCAATTTCGGGTCAGGGCACATCCCAGGTTGCAGACTCGATCCCCAGCAGGGAGAGGGCAGGAGGAAGCCGATAGATGTTTCTCTCTTATATCAATGTTCCTATCTCTCTCTCTCCCTAAAAAATTAATAAAAACATATTTTTAAAAATTAGCCTGTTATATTCGGTCAGGCTAATTTGATGAGGTGTGTGATGTTAGCTGGTGTTGACTGCATGGGCCTTATACGACCCATGGGCTGGACGTTCCCCACCCCTGCAAGGTGGTGGCTCTTCTCTGATTGCTGGTGACGAATTTGATGTCCAGGGTCATGCTGCTCACCTCCCAGCCTTTCAGGTCAGCCAGTTCCATCCTTACGACGCTATTCCAAATCCCCTATCTTCTTTAGGCAAAGGAATGTAAAATAAACATTTATTGAGCACTGACTTGAGGGCCTGGCACTATGCTCATTGCTTCATGAAAGACGTGGTCGCAGTTACTCCCTAACAGGCCTGCTGATGATGAAACTGAGGCTCAGAGAAGCTAAGTAAGCTCAAAGTCCAAGCTCCCTCATTCATGTAGGCACACTCAAGTCACTGTCCTCAAAGAGGCACGTTGCTGGCACTCTGGAGACCTGGTTCTACAGCCGGAGCTGTGACTATTTATAATTCATTATTTATAGAGCTGAAGCTATTGAACTGAGTGACCAGGTGGGTGGTTTAACATTGCCAAGTCTCAGTTCTCACGTAGTATGATTTTTACGGTTCTTTTTTGCTCTAGAAGTTCTGTTCTTGACCATTTTCCTAGCATTGAGCCGCCTATGGTGTACTGAACGCCACAGTGGAAAGTATTCCTGTCCACAAAGAATATCCAGTCTTGCTGGGGAGACAAACTCCAGAGAGGCCATGAATAGCAAGGAGAATGTGGTTACATGATGTTCTCCAGTGTCGTGCCACCCAGAGGGGTCTTTATTGCTCCTTCCACCTCGATGACACCCAAGCCTCTTTCTCTAGCCCTCGCCTCTCTGCTGAGCTTCAGACCCACAAACCTTGAATATGTACCAAAGAGACTGTCGCCTCTCCTTCAATCTGCTCCTGCTCTTTCTCCATAAACGGCAGCGCCACCTGGCTGCTACTCTTCATCGCCATCCCAATACCAAGTCCCCTACTTTTGTTGTTGTTGTTTATCCGCACACAAGGATATTTTTCCATTGATTTTTAGATAGAATGGTGGGGAGGGAGGGAGAGAAACATCGATGAGAGAGAGACACATTGATTGGTTGTCTCCCGCAAGACCCCGACCAGGGACTGAACCTGAAATCCAGGTACGTGCCCTTGACTGGGAATTGAACCGGAGACGCTTCGGTCCTTGGGCTGACACGCTCACCACTGAGCAAAACCAGCCAGGGCCAAAATAAGTAAATTGTATACAATTTGTTTTGTGGTGAAAATCCTACAGAGAATAATGAAGCGGGAGAAGAAGGGTTGGAAGTACCAGGATGGGAATTGTAAGCCAAGAGATACATTTTCTAAGTAAGAGAGACTCAGATGCGGTTATCGACACCTACCTGCATTGCATGCCTTACTCTTAGGGTCATTGTTTCAGTTATTTCAACTTCCTTTTTTTTTCTTTTTTCTTTTTTCTTTATAAAGCAATTTGAAGAGCTGGACCAGTTTAAAAGGTTCAGGGGCAGTGACTTATGTTGAGATCAGACCTTAATATGCCCCCAATGCTTCTTTCTCTTCACCTAAGAGCTTCCCATGTTTCCCCTTTTCAAGTTGTATTGAGAAAGAATTGAAATGCATCACTGTGTATGTTGAAGGTGTACAGCACAATGGCTCGGCTGACAGATACTGTGAAATGATGACCACAACAGGTTTAGCTAACATCCAGCATTTCATACAGATACAAGGAAACGAGAAGAAAATGTTTTCTGCTTGTGCTGAGAACCCTTAGTTTCCACTCTCTTACCAACTTCCCTCAGTATCACGCAGCAGCGTTAGCCACAGTCATCTGGTTGTACATTATACCCCTAGTAATTATTTATCTCATAACTAGAAACTGATACCTTTTGACCACCTTCTTCCAATTGCCTCTCTCCCATCTTCTGCCTCTGGTAACCACAAATCTGATCCATTTTTCTGTAAGTTTGGTGGGTTTTTAAAAAAAATTAAATTCCACATATATGTGAGATCATACAGTATTTCTCTTTCTCTGTCTGACTTATTTCACTTAGCATAATGCCCTAAAGTTCCATCCATATTGTCACAAATGGTTGGACTTCCCTTCTTTGTATGGTTAATGGCCCGTTCCCTTCATCCATCCATGTACACTTAAGTTCTTTCACTGTCTTGACTGTTGCAAATAATGCTTCTATGAACATGGGGTGCAGATATCTTCCTAGTGATTTCATTTCCTTCGGCCACATCACCGGAAGTGGGATTGCTGGATCCTATGGCAGCTCTATTTTTAATTTTTTGAGGACCCTCGATTCTGTTTTCCACAGTGGCTGCACCAGTCTGCAGTTACACCCACAGTGCATGACGGTCCCCTTGTCTCCACATCTTTGCCAAGAACTTCCATTTTTAAAGTTAATTTCAACCTTGTTCACTAAAGAAAACTTATTTTACTCCCTGTACCCACTGGGCTATCTTAGCAGTAGTTATACTTACAATTCTGTTTTATTAAACTTTCACATATTTATTAAAATGAATTAATAAACAAAACTACAGTTTATATCTCTTGGATATAATTCCAAAGGAAGGAGCCAAATTTAAAATATGATGCAAGTCGACGAGGAGAAAAAAGCCTGCACAACCTGACAAGCCCACAGGGAGGCAGCAGAGAGTGAGGGATGGGCTGGGTGGGGGCGGGGAGAGCTGCCGCAGGCACATGGAGGCAACAGCGAGATTTGAGAACAGCACTAGCTGACCTGGGTTTGAGTGAGTCCTGTCTCCATCAATGGCTCAGCTCTCGATTTCCTCATCTGAAATTCTGGAAATGAGTTAGTGTTGGAATGGCTGTCCTGTACTCGAATAACAAGTAGACTTGGCATCCTGGCTTTGAATTTGTCCTTTTTTATTTTAAACGTCAATCAATAGTTATTTAGTGATGCCTACTGTGTACTTGGAGTTAGATAATAATAATGATGATAACAAATATTCCTGGGACATCAACATTGTGCCAAACACTTTTATTTCATCCTTGTTCCCTGGGAGGGGGCGTGATATTATATGAGTTTCAGGGGTACAACATAGTCATTTGACATGTCTATACATTATGAAATGATCACAAGTCTACCTACCATCTGTCGTCATGCAAAGTTGATAGAGTATTATTGTGTATATTCCCTATGCTGTACATTACTTCCCTGTGACTTCTAACTGGAAGTTTGTCCCTCTTGATCCCCTTCACCCATTTGCCCATCCCCCAACCTCCCTCTCCCCTGGCGACCAGCAGTTTCTTCTCTGTGTCTTTATGTCTGGTTTTGTTTAGTTTGGTGGATTTTTTGTTTGTTTTTAGATTCCACACGTAAGTGAAATCATACCATATCTGTCTTTCTCGGTCTGATACTATTTCACTTAGCATAATGCCCTCAAGATCCATCCACATCGTCGCAGATTCTGCCCTCGCTCTTGGCCGGGTGCCTCCCTCTGGGACTCTCATGTCCTGTGTGTGACGGGTGATCATGCTTCACCTCACAGAGCTGCCGCAGGGACTGCATGAGACCAGGGTCCCCCACGATGTTTGTCCCCATCTTCCTTCCCAGGCCCGTGCACCCATAATCCCTCAGGCCTCACCCACAGCATCAGTCGCCCCTTCGTTCTGGGTTTAGCACATGATTCCCCGGGGTTTCTATCTGAGTACCCACGTCTGGTCACTTTACTCCAACAATAGGGGAGAAATGAAAGTCAATAGAGTGTCCAGATCTGTATATAAACAGATACTTCAACATGGGGAAGAAGTTTTTGAAATAGTGGTAATGAGAAGAAGAATTCGATGAGAAAGGAGAACAGATTTGGATGCTGGCAACCCCCCCCCCCCCGAGTTTCCAAGCCCGGCTCACCCCTCTCATTCCCCCGCCCACGGAGTGAAGAGCAGCCGCACACAGTGTCCCCCGGCTCCCCTCAGAGACGTCTGAGATTAGCCAGGACTAACTTGGATTTATACGAAATTATAAAACCCTCACGCAAACGGGAGATGGGCAAGAGTAAAAACGCAGCCACCACCTGGTAACGTCTGGCGACTCGAGCCAGGGGAATGGCCCATTGGCTGCTCCAGGCGGAACTGGTAATGGCCCTGCTGTCTGCCTCCAGTGGACCAAGGACATGGGCTCTGAGGGGACAGCAGGCCGGGCCAAGTCCGCTCCACACCACCCGACAGCCCAACACAGGTGGGGTTTGTCATCAGTCAGCTCTGCCGACGTCAGAACCTGGCTCCCTCTTCCAGTCCCCAGCCTCCCTTGTGCCCCTGCCCGTGATGGGGACGTTCACCCCACTGTCCTGTGGGGTGTCCAGCGGCCAGTTCCTCCACAGGACTCTCCACACCACCTCCCTCTCCCACCCCTGACCACACAGTTCTTGGAGGCAGGATCTCACACTGCAGTTTTATTTTTAGTTTACAGGAATACAACATGCTGAAACAGGAAAAACGGGGATTGAGTACATCATTCATATCTCAGAAACCAGCTCCAGTTGTCAACAAAAAATAAATATTGAGACAGTGAGGAGTTCCCGACAGGCCCTCAGAGGTTCCCAGCATGTCCGGAGGTAGAGCCTGGTGGGGAGGGGCAGGCTGCCGGGTCCTGTTGAGATTTCTCAGGTTGAGGCCAACTCAAGTTACAATAATAAATAACAATAACACCGACAGTAACAAAAATAATATGCTATGACAGTCGTCACAAAAATCAATACATTATAACTTAAATAATTGTCTCCTGGAGGAGCTCAGTGCAGCGAGAACAGGTTGACTTTCCTGGGGCACAGGGGCAGCCTGGGCTCCTGCGCAGGTCCCACCTCAGAGTGTTTGTTCCGTGATGCCGAGGTGACAGGCAGGTTCTGACTTCCCCCAATCCTGCTCTTCCAAGCAGCCTCTCCCTAACTCCACTCCCAGCGTCTGGGGTCTGCCCAAGGGTCATCACGGTCCCTGCCCCATCTCCCCCATCATCCCAGTAAGTGCACCCCACACCCACCGGAAGGACACACGAGGCTCCCCTTCCATCTTGGTGGGGGGGTCTCTTTTTCCCTATTCTCATAATCACAAAAAAATATTGGCTTGATTAAACAGAACTTTCAGGAACTGTCAAGAGATTTATTTCTTATGATCCTTCTCCCCCTCTCTGCACACTGCCAGACAAGACAGCTGATGAGCCACTCACTGGGAGGTCCCCCACCCTTCTCCTCCGGGGCTCTGCGCTCCAGGGTGGAACCAGCTGAGAGAGGGCATATCCCAGCAGGAGGCCCCGGCCAGCGCTCAAGGGCGACCCTGCTGCAAACGGAGCCAGAGGCCACCACAAGGTCACCGAGGGCTCCCTGCTAACTTGGAAAGGGACTCCAAACCAGTTTTTGAGGTATAAAAATCTCCCATGGGGCAAGCATCACACTGGTTCCCTGGCCTTGGAGAAACAGGCTGGACACAGGAGTGCTAAGGAGCCCACGCGAAGCCGCGGGCAGCCCAGAGGCCGGGGGGAGGGGGGCCCACACCCAGGGCTCCCTCCTGTGCCCAGGAGGGTCTGGGAATGACGAAACAGGATGTGATCAGTCAACTGTTCAACAGGCAAACCCGCCAATCTGGCCGATTCCCTCTCATTTTCGAGTTTCCCTTCACGTTTCCCAAACCACCCCGGAATCGTTCTGGCCCCGCTGAGAATGACCAGAGCCAGTGATAACTCTTGCACGACCGTTCTTTTCCCCAGAGAGCACCATGCAACCGTCATCTCCAGCCCCAGGGGTGGGGGCGACCCTCTCACGCATGCAGTTCAGTCCCACAGTATCTGGAGGAGAGGCTGTTGCTTCCAAAACAAAAACAGCTTTTGCTTCACTGTCCTCGTTCGCTTTGCAGAACCTGCCTCCCACACGGGCAGCTGCCTCAGGGCTGGGTGCCTCAACCTCCCTTCCCGGCTGGCCCCTCACTGCTGTGAGGCTCAGGTGTGTAAGGGCTCTGCCGGGCTGCAGCTGGACGGAGAGGCGGTGGCGGCCGAGGCTTGGGCAGCCAGGTCCCGGTAAGCGGGCGACTTCAGGAAGCGTGGGTAGGAGTCCTTCTCCATCAGGGTGCGCGTCTTCCCCTGAGCCACATCGAAGCACGTGACTGTGGCAGCCTGCAGGTTTGTCCTCGTGAGCTCCTTGGTCTCGTGGTCTATGTTCACCTGTGGGAAGGAGGGCAAGCACATGGGTGAGGGGGGTGGACACGGTGACGGGTCCAGCAGGCAGAGAGGGGCAAGGTCGGCAGGTGGGGCAGTGGGAGGAGCCCTGGATTCTGAACCAGGAACCTGGGGTCTCCTGAGTCCATTATTAAGTGGCTTTCATCTCTGGGTCTGTCCCCACATCTGATCCATTGTCTGCCCTCCAATCTCTCAGAATTCTCGAATATTTATTAAGACTGTCTACAAATGCAACCTCTTTCCACCCCTTCTCTGTAACAACCCTGATTCCAGTCACCACTCCTAGACTAGTGCAGAGCCTGCTAATGGGTCTCCCCCTTCTCCCCTCACCCCTGTGATCTGTTCTCCATTCAGCAGCCAGACTGAACCTTTCAAACTTCAAATCAGTTCGGTGGCAACTCTCGTCTTTCCATGTCACTCAGAGGAAAAGCCAAAGTGCGTGCCGGACCCACAGGGCCACCGGGACCCACCGCTGGCCCTCTGCCAGCTGCATGACCTCTTCTCCTACCCTCTCCCTGCTCCACACCGGCCCCCTGCTGGTGTGTGATGACAACAACACTCTGGCCTTTGCACTTGCCTTTTCCTGTGTTAGATGTTCTTTCCTCCCATAACTCTTTCATGTCTCTGTTCATGTCACCTTATCGGACAGCGCACCTGTCACTTCCCTTTGTAAGATGGAAAGCTCACACCCTTTCCCCGCACTCCCTCCTGTATCCTGCTTTGTGTTGATCAAAGGATGTGTCATCCTCTAGCAAAGGTTCACATCTGATTGGTTGCTGGCATCCTCTTCCCCTAGGATACAGGCTTTGTTTTGTTCACTGCTCTATTCCCAGTGATTGTACCAGGACCTGGCATGGAATTGGTGCTCAATAAATCTTTATGGAATAATGTGGAATAAATAAGAGTGCTCAGAAAATAAAATAGAAACTATGGCACAAAAGCAAAGCATTACTATCATCCCTCCACTAGGTGGCGCCATGTTCCTTATCAAATGCAGCCGCCAGGCATTGGAGGCCCGAGGGAAGGTTGCAAGTTCAATGAGCACAGAGCTGTCCAGCTCAGGCAGGTCAGCCAGGAGAACGAGGCAGGTTACACAAGGTTCCTAGGATGACCTGCCTTCCAAGTTGTGTAAGTAGGTTGGACCTCTATAAAGGGCTTTGTCTACAAGAGTGGGTATGGACAGAAGCCAAAACACCTGCCAACCCCTCCGACCCCATCTGTGATTCTGAGGGTAATGGCACCTAAGGGTGGCATGAAGCCTGATTTTCCTAGGCTCCAGCCACAGAAGCCCACTCACCCCCATGCCAAATAAAGCCAGTCTACTTCCAAACTCAGCCCTTCACCTGCTGGCCCCAGATCCCCAATTCTCAGTGCGGAAGGAGAAGACAGGGTCTGAAGCACCCAGGGACATATCTGGGCTCTGACCTCTTTCGGGGCTTCACTGCAGATGAACTCCTCAAAGATCCTGTGAGCCCGGGAGGCCAGCTTGGTAGCTGACCGGATCTTCTTGAACTCCTCGCAGGCCAGCCAGAACTCCAGGTTCTCCTCGCTGAACTCCGTCTTCAGGAAGGCGCGGAAGGCAGCCACCCCGTCTGGGTTGGAGGGAGAGAGGAAGAGACTGGTCAGACTGAGGGACAGCAGGGCATAAAAGAAGAAAAGCCAGCAACTGCAGTGAATAGCTCTATTTTTAGGCTGTAATTTTCTCAAACAAGGACCTGCCTTTGTATTCTGAAGAGCGGCTGGCACCCTGGGGGTCACTATTATTATTATTACTACTACTGCTGTTTTGCACATGCTTTCAGCATCCCTCAGCCTGGCTCCCAAGCACGTGAGCACACATGTGCCACCCACAGACAGACACAACATGCCCACACTCACTTTTACTGCTCAGCAGCAAGTCAAACGACTCTCTCCATCCCAGCACATCTTCGGAGAAATTTCTGTTTTTAAAAAAAAGGCCAAGATTTCAATTCGAAGAAAAAAAAAAATCAACAAATTCATGCACAACACAATCCTAGCCAGGACTCTGATGGGAGTTGCATAATTCACACGAAGTCTTGCTCGGTGATTTCTTGGAACTGACTTCTCAATCCCTTGGTTGGTATTAGGGCAAACAGTGGTGTTTTCTAGGGGACAAGTCAGTAACCAGGAACCAAAGCCAGGCACTGTTTGGCCCAGTAAATATCTTCTAAGACTCTCTTCACTCTCCAAAATTATTTCTTTTCCCCTGACTCTCAGAGCACTGTTTTTTGTACACTTTCTCAAGGGAATGAGCACCTCGTGAATAAAGGGTATGTCACCCAGAACCCCAGAGCCTAGCACAGCACCCAGCACAGCTAATGTTCAACAAGAAAAGGGCTTCTAGGCAAAGTGCATACTAATGGAAGTAGATTAAAAACCTCAAGTGGTCTTGGACCCTGTCCTAGCCCTGGTTGCATGTGCAATGACATCTCCAGGTGGGAAAGTCTGGTCACTAGACATTCAGGCCCTGGGTACACTCATCTGTTGGCAGACTTAGGACCCTGGAGCCACCCACCCAGTCACCCATTAGCCAAGCAGCCACGGCAGACCAAGAAGCCCCACTAAGGTCTCCAGGAAGGGGTCACCAAGGTCCACCATAGCATGTCCTAGTTTCTCCTTCTTGTGACTCCTTTCCTACATCTGGCTCCCTAGAGGGGCCGTAAGCTGGTCAGCAGGACTTACCGCTCTTTGCCGTGTTTACTGTTCCACTCCAACTTGCCAACATTCCCAGGATCAGAGCCCAGGTCTGATTTGTGAAGAAAGATCCCCAGCCGTGTCTTGAACTCTTTGGCTCTGGAAGACAAAGCATAAGCATATTAGGCTTCTCCATTTTCCCAGCCAGGGCAGAGAAATGTATACGGAACAACTCAGGCTGGTGCCACCTGAATTCCAGTCTCACGGGTCCCTGGGAACCCTGGGCTCTTCCCAGGACCTCAACTTTGCTTCTCTCCTCAGTATCACAAAACCCCAAACAAGGAAAAGCCACGTTTGAGCTGCGCCTTGGTAGGTCTTACACTATCTGAGTTAAGACACTTCAGCCACACTGCTCTCACCCTCTGGGCTGGTAATGAGTATTCTGGAAGTGTGTGGAAGCAGAGTCCTCTTCTGTACCTTTGTTTTCCCCACACCAGCTCCATCACGGATTGGAGCTGGCTGAGTAGCTCTCTGGGAAGTGGGCACCTCCCCGCCTTCCCAGGGCCAGGAGGCCACATCTGGACATCTAGGCTGTAGAATAAAAACCGAGTGCTTAAGAAACTGAGGGAGACAGCTCGGCCTGGGGGTGCCAGCGTGGTCTTCAGCAGGTCACCTGAGAAGGTGACATTTATCAGAGGATAGAGAATGACAGTGCCCAGAGGTCCCTGCTCTACCTTCTCTTGACCTGGCGCTTCTCTACGACTCCAAGGGACAGGTCCGAGCACGGGGCACCATGTTGACCTCTGCCTCTCCATGCAGGCATTAGCATCCCCTTATCGCACCCACCCTGGTGCCCAAGCCTGCCTCCCCACGTCCTCGGGGCAGCGGGACCAGCTCCTCTTACCTCTCCAGGCAGGTGGTGGGGAAGGCAGACAGAGTGCGGCACATGGCTGCGGTTCAGGGCAGCACGTCGTGGGGAGAAAGGCGGCGGGTTCCCGTGGGCAGTGGGAGCGCGAACAGGCAGCGGATCGCGGAGCTGATGCTCTTCTGCACGAGATGCGTTTACCAGGCTGCACCGCCGGAGCCCGCGCGCCCGCGGCTTTTATTCCCTCGGAGGGGGCGGGGCGGACTGCTCGCCGCCGACCAATGCGCGAGCGGCACCGAGCGCGGCCGAGGCAGAGGCGGGGCCCGGAGCCCACCCCGGGAGCCCACACGGCACCCCACCCGCGTGCAGCCTCCACACCGGCGGGGGGCACTCGAGGCCGCCCTCCTCCGGGCCGACGCGGCTCGCCGCGGGACAAAGGCGGAGAAGTCACATGGAGATGGGAGCGCACGCCCAGTGTAATAGGGGAGAAAGCCCCACCGGCCTCTAGTAAAAGCTGGAAACCAACCCCGAAGTCCTGAGGATTTGCGTGGGGGTGAAGGGTCTGGGAGGCACACGTGGAGCTGATCTCAGCCCGAGCCTGTTAGGTTCTGAAATGCAACCCCGGGCCAGACAGCATCGCGATTAGACCGATAACTACCATTGCCTGTGCTCCTGCCCGGATGGCCGCGGGGCTAGCAAGCCTTTATTAGCATCTCATCAGCACCTCCACTTTATAAATGAAGAAACTGATCAGAAAGTTAAAGGGACTTGCTGAAGCTCACAGAGTGGAACTAGCGGACTCATGGAGGGCGGTGGGACTTTACTGAGCGTCTGTGGACGAGGCACCTTTACTAAGACTTAGGTTCAGTACCTTGCTCCAGGTTGCACAGGAGTGAAGGGCCAGAATTCAAGATGGACTTTTCTATGCTTTGCCCACTGCTTACCCCTCCAGAAAAAAAAAATTTTTTTTTTAATCTCACCATCTTTGTAAGTGCTCCTGGGTGTCAGCTGCTGCTAGTTGTGTCCTAATCTCTGCAATAAAGGTGATAAATGCCTTTCTGCCTCTCTCGCCTCACTTTCCCGCAAAGGCGCCAAACCCCCGCCCCCGCCCCCAGCTCCCTCTGGGATTGCTGTTAGGTTGCTTGCCAGTGTGGAGTCCCCAGCCAGATCCCGGTTTCAAGCCCCGGCAAGCCTCTTGACCTCTCCATGCCTGGTTTTCCTCCTCTCTAGGAAGAGAACATGATACATAGTTTCATAAGTTGGTTGTGAGATGTAAACAAACCAATTCTTAGTTGTACGTTCCCAGGAAACAGGAAATCCAGTTCCTCTGAGGCAGAGACTTGCTGGGGAGAGTTCTCAGAACTGAGAGGGACCAAGGGAAGCTGGGTTGGGCAGAGGGAGGCGGTGAATGCCACGGGTGGGGCAGCTCCTTGAAGCTGTCCCCTATTGAGGCAAGGGGACAGATACCCCCACATCCACTTTTCACTGGATGCAGTTGCCCCAAGAGATGGCCTTATATTAAACAAGGCAACACCCCCGCTGAAGGGGAAGCCCTGGGAGCCTGCGGCCCACAACCCTGGGGGACATGGGGGTGACGGCCTTGGTCCCAAAGAGGGCATTTGGGTGGCATGACACACACCTGCTACATGTAAGTCTCTAAGAGCAACACCCAGCATGTGGTAGGCACTCCACAGACGTAGTGTTGTTTGCTTAAGACGGGGATTGCTAGACAGTGAGGAAAACTGAGTTTTGCGTCTCTTGGAATTAGGTTTTTATTTCATAAGGGGGCGACTAAGCGTTGCTCTTCCTTAGCAAGGCCAGGAAGCACAGGGTCAGAAAAAGAGACGAGAGGAGAAGAGGTTCCCCACCTGAGCGTTCCGTGAAAAGGCCCAGGAGCGTGGTCAGAGAAGGAAAGGGGAAACCACAGAGCGGGAAGGCGAGGCAGGCCTGTGCGTTGGTCCTGGAGGCATGGCTAGGGCAAGAGGCCCAACTCAGCACAACGTGTGGCTTCATTTGTCCCCTCATTAACCAGGGCCTGCAGGAGATGGCCCAGTTAGTGGAAACACAATGCCCTCTGGGGTGCCAGAGTCCCCAGCCTCCCGGTTGGTTGGTTGGTTGGTTGTTAGTGGAGCTCAGGGGCAGGTACAGCGGCAGCTCACACGTGGGCAGCACCATCTCAGCTGCCAGCACCCACCCTCACCCCTGTGTCACCAACCTAGGCTCTTGTGTAACCTTCTCAGGGCTGGCTCTGTGGGGGACAGGGAGGGGCAGGGGTTGGGAGGCGGGAGTGGTGTGCAACCAGGCAATGAAGGCTGTCTTTCTGAACACCTGCTCCTCAGCACAGTTCTTGATCTGCACGGTGACGCCGCCCACCCAGCCCATCGGTTCTCTGGAGGCCTCTGTCAGCTGAGGGGAGGGGCGTTGTTTCACCTGGGGCTGCTCAAGCCCGGGGTAGCTGCCAGAGGGGCAAGTGGCTGTGTCTGGGACGGTTGTTCTTCAAGCAACCAAAATGAGTTCATGGATGGACGAAGCCCCAGTCTAGCCCTCGCCCCGCAGGAATGGGCCAGACATGGGCCCAGGCAGCAGTTATCAGGATTATGCAGAGACCCTGTGCATACTTTCCCCTCCATTCTGCTTCCCTGCACTGGCCAGGGAGGGTTTCTCGTTCCCATTCTGCAGACAACAAAATGGTAGTGTCCAAGGTGCCCTCGGTTAAGGGCTCTGGAACTGAAAACAGCTGAAACCTGGCCCATCCATCTCCAGTTTGCGGAGCTAGTTCTTTCTCCCATTCAACAAGGAAAGCAAGAGAGACAAAGGGAGGAAAAAACACCTGGGGTACAGACCTGCAAATCCAACCCGTGAGCATGAAGCTCCCTGCTCGAGGTGAAGAGCCCTCCCCGTGGCCATGGTTACCTCTTCCATCTCCTGGCAGAAACTTTTTGAAGTTCATAGTTTATCCCAAATTCTCTTCCCAGCAGGAAGGTCAGTTCATAACGGCAATTTCGGTAACGACTCGACAGCTGCCGTAAATCCAGGAAGATGAGCTCACCTGTGAGTCGCCCTGGCTGTGACCGACCTGGCCTCATTTTTGCCCAGTACTCTCGGGTGTAGGGACACAGCTCTGCAGCCTGGGTCTTCCGGGGACAGGATGAAACATCTCACAACAACCCAGCCACATTGCCTTCCATTTCCTTCGGCCCCTCCGACCCCCAGTTCCACCCTTTCCTCCAAGGCAGAATCTAGAGGGGATCTTTGCTGAAAACGGTTGGGGGACATAAAAACGCTTCCTCGACTTCTGACTCGGCACAATCCCTGCATGGGTCTAGATCTCCTGAATTCAACCATCAACTACCCATAAATATTTATTAAGAATTGTCCGGCGGGTGTGGCTCAGTGGTTGAGCGTCGACCCATGCACCAAGAGGTCGCCGGTTCGATTCCCAGTCAGGGCACATGCCCAGGTTGTGGACCTGGTCCCCAGTGGGGGGCATGCAGGAGGTGGCCAATCGATGTTTTCTCTCATTGATGTTTCTCTCTCTCTTTCTCCCTCTCGCTTCTTCTCTCTCTAAAATCAATAACGGGAAAAAAAAATTTACTATTTTCCCAAGTCGATGGGAGAGACAGCAGCCTTTAAGGCTCTTCCTGCCTTCACTGACCTTATAATCAAGCCGAGGAAACAGCACTAACATGGAGGAGGGGAGGGTGTGAATGAAAAAACCATTGCCTGGCCTTGCAACCAACCTTCAGGGAAGGGAGAGATCAGACAGGTCGTGGAGTTAAATAAAAGGGGTGTGGCCCTGGCTGGTTTGGCTCAGCGGTTAGAGCGTCGGCCTGTGGTCCAGAGAGACCCGGGTTCAGTTCCTGCTAAGAGCACGTAACTCGGTTGCAGTTTGTCTCCGGCCCTGGTTGGGGTCGTGTGGGTGGCAACCACTCAATGTGTCCCTTTCATGTCGATGTTTCTCTTCCTCTCTCCCTCCCACTCTATCTGAACAAAAAATGGAAAAATGTCCTCGGGTGAGGATAAAAAAAATAAAAGGGGTGTGGGGTTTAGAAGTGAGAGGTTTGAGAGCCACGGACACACAGGAGGGAGCGTGCTTCAAGTGTGACAAGCAGCTGGGAAGAGCCTGTCAGAGTCAGGGGTCCAGGAGTGGTCAGAAAGGTGCAGAGATTCCTGCCACACAGGAATCGAAATGTAAAACGGGCTGGATGAGGAGAGATCACCTCCTGCAGAGTGAAGCAGACAGTCCCTGGGGTCCATGTCCCGGCTGGTTGTGACAAAGCCATGGTGCCCTCGCCTCCCGGGCAGGGGAAGTTGACTGGGTTCAGCCTGGGTGTAGGAAATGACTCTTGTGCCCTGATGATCTTTTAGGGCCCTGGGTACAGCTCACTCTGACTCCTCCTCTCGGCTTTCTTCTCCTTTCCTCCCTCCCTCTGGGCAGAGGTCTGATGGGCTGGGAGTGTGGAAGACCTGCTGCTCCCCACCCACCAGGCCAACAGACCCCTAGCCTCCAAGGCAGGCCGTGCCAGCCCGCGGTGCCGTGGAGACGAGGAACATAGGTGGACTTCTCTGCGTGGCATGTCAGGCTCTAACCACCAGACCCAGGTTCCTCACCTCACCCTACAGCCCAGCCAAACACGGCAGTGAGCAGGTCCCACGCACGCCAGGTACCTCAAACCCCTGAAGGCCGCCCCCCTCTCTGTGCAACTCATTTTAAAAGACACTTTTTAATAAACTAGATATGGATACGTAATTTACATATAATAAAATGCAAAGCTCTCAGCATTCAGTTTGATGATGTTTGACAAATGTAGACCCCGTGTAACCACTACCCAGTCAGCTACATGATGTGCTGATTCATTCTAGAAACCTCTTTCATGAGACCCCTTTCTAGAGGCAACCACTAACCCGAGACCCAGAACCATGAGACTAGAAAACTCAAGGAGTCAACGCTATTTATTTGTGAGGCCTAGTTCAAAAGTGCTTTCTCGTCCCGAATTCAGCCCCCAGCACCATGCCCTGGTCAGTGTATATGCTGTAAATATTGGCTGACTAGATGGCTTCTGTTTCAACACAAATCATAACTAACATTTATTGAACACTCACTGTGGGCCGGGCCCTGTTCTGTGTGCCTTCTCCAGAACTTGCTTTCAGTGCTCACAAGTTACCCTGTAAGATGGGTCCTGTCTTGTC